GTGTGTGATTGCGTGTGCATGTGTGTGGTATGTGGAACTCGATTGTGATCGTGTGAGGCATGTGGGACTGTGTGTGGTGTGTGTGATTGCGTGGCATGTGTGTGGTAAGTGGAACTCGAGCATCGTGATTAGTGTGATGGCATGTGTGACTGTGTTGGTGTGTATGACTGTGTGTGCATGTATCAGTGAGGCATTGTGACTTTCCGTGGTGTGACTGTGTCGTGCATCGTGTGAGGCATGTGACCTGTCGCATGGTGATGTGACTGCATGGTGTGATATTGTAACTCGAGCTGTCGTGATCGTGTGCAGGCATGTGACTGATGTGGTGTGTGGTGATGCGTGGTGCATGTGTGTGGTATGTGGAACTCGAGCGTTGTGATCGTGTGAGGCATGTGACTGTGTTGTGGTTTGTTACGGTGTGTGTGTGTACTCGCGAGGGCGTGCTCACGAATTGTGTGTTCTTCTCTGCCCAGTACAAATGGAAGAAAAATCAATACAAAGGAAAGCAGCGAGGGCTGGAAACGACGGAGAGGGCTGGACTCTCCACTTCAGCTGTAAGTGCAGTGAGGTCTCAGGAAACTCCAGGAAGCGCTGCCCCAAGCGACGTGCTTCTCGTTAGCAAAAAAGGGTGCCTACGCTAGTCCCTGCTGTGCGCGACTCGGGAGAACGTCAGGAAGTTCCAGGCGCAACGAGCAGCCTGATCTTCGAAAGGCCGAAAGGCCTCGGGTGAGGTTGGCTGGAACGGGCCGGGCCCACACTTCTGTCTCCCAACCAGCCGTGGTGCCTCCGAGCCCCTGTTACGCCAGGCGGGTAGAGGCGTGCGCGGCCAGGCGGCTGTCTCCAGGCACCGCAACGGGCGGCCCACGGGAGAGGAGGGCTCAGCCCGTCCATTTCGCGAGTTGGGTGGCCCCGTCGCTGAGTTACACATATCACACATGCAGTCACATCACACGCAGTCACATGCCTCACATGATACACGCACATACACACCACACACAGTCACATGCCTTGCATGATCACACTCTCCAGATTGACACACAGTCACACACCAGAGTTCCACATACCACACACAGTAACACACCACACAGTCACATGCCTCACACAATCACACGTGCCAGAGTTACACATACCACGCACGCACACGCAATCACACACCGCATGCAGTCACACACGCTGCACTTTGAGCAGATGAGTAGGGATGAGATGACCCGTTCTTCCTGAGGGGGGTGCAGGTAGGGAGCTGCCTGTGAGCTGGAGAATCCGTCTCTGTCTGTGATGACGCCGCGTGCCCTGTGCAGTGGAACATGCTTTCACTTCCCACGTGAACTGGGACAAGTTCTCATGGAACCGCCTATTTTCATGCGTGTTTCTGTCCCGTGGTGCGTAGCAAGCTGAGCAGAGCAGCTGCCTTCAACGCGCAGGAAAACCTTCATTTTGACACAGCCTCTTTCCTTTGTCCAGACGTTCTTGCGTCCTCAGCCTACGTCAGCACAGACGGCGGCAGCTTCCCTTGCCACAACCCCAGCGGGCTTTCTGATGCGCCTGCCCAGCAGCCACACCCTGAGCAAGAAGGGTGGCCGCTGGGCACAGGGGACTTCCCCAGCCAGGTGCCCAAGCGGGTGCTGGACGTCAACCAGGAGCTGCTGCAGTCCGGGGTCATCACCCTCCCAGGTGAGCATGGGCTGCCGCTTGCCCAGGTGAGCACACACCAGGCTCTCCTGTCAGAGCGGGTCTCACATCTAAGCCAACAGCACAGACCCAGCTCACCACCTCGTAGGAGTGAAACTCTTGACAGCCGCCCTGTCTCTGTCTCCACAGGGACCCGAGACCGTCAGGGCAGAGCGGTGGTGCAGGTCCGCACCAGAAGCCCGCTCTGGACCAGGGAACACTCATCCTGCGCCGAGCTAACCCGACTGTTGCTGTACTTCCATAGCATCCCCAGGTAGGACGGGGGGCCAGGCCCCACCCTGCAGACCCGTGGGACCCCAGCTGCATGTGTGTGGCAAAGTGGGGGGCACAGGGAGGTGCCAGCTTCCATGACCAGACTCTGCCTCTCCTAACCTCATCTTTCAAAACAGTCAGCACCCATGTGCTTCCAGCCTTGATTTCTACACAGCATTTCTTGTCTTCTGTACACATCCTTCCCAGTGACACCCAAAATTAAACACACCTGGCTACGGGGTGGGGAGGGCGCACTCACTCTTTTGACCAGGACTCAGCCGTCCGTGTCATGTGCAGCTTCTGCCAGCTTTGAGTCAGGGTTCTGTTGTGTCCTTGGCTACACGAGTGCTGTAAGATCAGCGTCCAGACACACAGCTTAATTAGAATGGGAGTTAATCGTGGAATTAGAGCTGAAGAAGTTTCTCGGAGAACACACACACACACACACACACACAATTTATTTTTATTTTTATTTTTTTTTAGACAGGGTCTTGCTGTCGCCCAGGCTAGAGCACAGTGGTGCAATCACAGCTCACTGTAGCCTCAACCTCCTGGGCTAAAGCAATCCTGCTCCCGCCTCAGCCTCCCAGGTAGCCATAGCGCCAGGCTATATATATAGTTGTTTTTTGTTTTTTGTTTTTTTTTGAGACAGTGTCTTGCTCTGTTGCCCAGGTTGGGTGCAGTGGCGCAATCTCAGCTCACCGCAAGCTCCACCTCCTGGGTTCATGCCATTCTTCTGCCTCACCCTCCTGAGTAGCTGGGACTACAGGCGCCAGTCACCACGTCTGGCTAATTTTTTGTATTTTTAGTAGATGCGGGGCTTCACTGTGTTAGCCAGGATGGTGTCGATCTCCTGACCTGGTGATCCACCCACCTCGGCCTCCCAAAGTGCTGGGATTACAGGCGTGAGTCACCGTGCCCAGCCCAGGCTATGTATTTTTTAAGACTAGTCAAGTGTAGTAGTGAGAAGGGGGGAGGAGTAGAACAAGGTGTTTGATCTGTAACTGCGTGAGCAATCAAATGAGATAACTCACTCCCTTCAGACCAGCCGAACCCTAAAATTTTGTAAAATGAATATATCAGCTCACCCTACCTACTATTTTCTTCTATTAAATTTTGAAGTGAAGTTTCCAGTCACAATCACAGAGACAAAACTTTTAAATTGGAGTTTTCAAAACCACGTGATGGTATTTTTAGTTTTAAAAGATGTTCTAACAGTCTTAGCTTGGCTCTGGAGAGTAAAGACCCTCATGACTGATCTCAAGCTTCCGTCTTGGGAACAGGCCGTCCACATCCCATCAGAATCATCAGAATCACCTTCTGTGCTTATGTTAAAGCCCAGACAAATACACGAGGGCAAGAAGGCCCTGAAGTCTTTGCCCCCTTGATGGAGCAGGGCCCATTTCGTCCATCCAGGAGCATGGGTGGGTGTTTAGGGGAAAGTAGCCGCAGCCCCATGGCTGAGACTGTCTGACGTCACTGGCGGGTTAGCAAGAGGAACAACGGTGGTGCCTCCAGCCGATGGGCCTGCACCTTCAGGAAGTGGAAGGCTGATGTGTATAGAGAACCCCTAACTTCTAGAGCTGAAAGGAAACCAGTAACAACTAGTCTCGGAGGTGGAGAAACTCGTTTTTGTAAGAGATTTCACCTTCGGTGGTTAAGACCAGCTGTCTTTCCGTCCCCAGGAAGGAGGTCCGGGACCTGGGTCTGGTCGTCCTGGTGGACGCACGCAGGAGTCCAGCCGCCCCTGCCGTCTCCCAGGCCCTCGCGGGATTGCAGGTACGGCAGGGTTGTCACGTCCCTTGGGTGTGCAGAGCATCTCAGGGCCGTGTGCCGCTGGGGCCGCCCACATCATGGTTCTGGAGTAGCCAGTCCATAGGCTTAGTGTGAAGATTCAAGACAGGCCCCTGTGCAGAGCCCGCTCCTTCTTGGGGTCTTCCCAATGAGTCCAGCTCTTGCTCTCCGGGGCCAGACACAGACAACACTGGGGAAGGTGGGCTTGGCCCATCCACTGGGGACTTGGGGAAGCTCCATGCTGGGGGCAACTGCAAACCTAAAAAGCAAAGCCAGCCAGGCCCAGGTGGGGGGCACCTGTCCCAGGAGGACAGCACAGCCCCATCCCTGCCCAGTATGGCTGCCCCTGCTATGCCCCTCCAGGATGCAGGGCATGGCATTGTCCTTCAGACAAAGGACAGAGGAGGAAGGGGCAGCCATGGCTCACTGCAAGGATGAACCAGGGTGGGGACGAACCTGGCAGCCCCAGACAGGGTCAGTGCCATTGCTACAGGACCCTGTAGCCTCAAACTCCCAGGTTCAAGCCATGCTCCTGCCTCAGCCTCCAGAGTAGCTAGGACCACAGGAATGTGCCACCATGCCCAGCTAATTTTTTTATTATGTTTACTAGAGATGGGGTTTTGCCATGTTGCCCAGGCTGGTCTTGAATTCCTGGACTCAAGTGATCCACCCACCTTAGCTGCCTAGAGTGCTGGGATCGCAGGCATGAGCCACCGTGCATGGCCTAGGGGCCCTGCATTGAACCATAAGCAACATCCAGAGGAGATGGGAAGCGCTGCGGATGGGAAGATGTCACTGCCTGAGCAGGGACAGATGGGAGCCCAGAGACGGGGAGAGACCAGGGACGGGGTGTCCAGGGACAGGGACAGGGAGGGGACAGGGACAGGGAGGGGACAGGGACAGGGAGGGGACAGGGACAGGGAGGGGACAGGGACAGAACCCGGGGTGCCCTCTCCCATGCCCCACCTGCACTCCACGAAGCTAAACCCATTACGCCGTTGCTGTCCCTGCTGAAGATGGAGGCAGAGGCTCCTATACTCACTGAGGAAACTCAAGTTTAGGGACACCAGGTGGCAGGTTGTGCCAGGAAAGACGTCAGTCAGGGACAGTGCTGGCAGAACTCCACTGTGGAGTCCTCCTTCCTCTTCCCCTCCATGGGCCTCCCTCTTCTCCCCACTGGCAGTCCTCCCTCCTCTCCCCCATTCTGCAGCCCTCCCTCCTCTTCCTTCCCATGGTACTCTTGTCTTTCCCTCTCCACAGTCCTCCCTCCTCTCCACCCCCACAGTCGTTCCTCCTCTTCTCCCACCCTGCAGCCCTCCCTCCTCTCCCACACCCTGTGACCCTCCGTCCTCCCCCCCGTGGTCCTCCATCCTCTCCCCCTCCATGATCCTCCCTTCTCTCTACCCCCATGGTGGTTCCTCCTCTCTCACACACTGTAACCCTCCCTCCTCTCCCCACCATGGTCCTCCCTCCTCTTCCCTAACCCTGCAGCCCTCCCTTCTATTCACCCCTGTGATCCTCTCTCCTCCCCCCCACACAGTCCTCCCTCCTCTTCCCTAACCTAAAGTCCTCCCTCCTCTTTCCCCTGCAGTCCTCCTTCCTCTCCTCCCCCATAGTCCTCCCTCCTCTCCCCCCACCCTGCAGTCCTCCTTCCTCTTCCCTAACTCTTGAGTCCTCCCTCATCTCCCCCCTCTTCTCCTCCCCCACAGTCCTCCCTTCTGTCCCCTGACCCTGCGGCCCCCCATCCTCTCCCCCCACCCTGCAGTCCTCCCTCCTCTTCTCTAACCCTGCAGTCCTCCTTCCTACCTCCCGCCACAGTCTCCCCTCTTCTCTCTCCACCCTGCTGCCACCACTTCTCTCCCCCACATTTCCCCTCTTGCATGGAGCCTGCCTCCCCTCGCCTTAAAGTGAACCTGCCTCTTGTCTCCCTCCTTACTGTCAGTCCTGCCTGTGATTTCTTCTTACTTTCGCAGTACGTGGCTCTTCTTAGAAAATCTCAGTGTCCTACCTGAGACTCGGAGGAGACAGGCTCAGTCATGACCCCCCTTACAGAGTGGGATCCACTCAGGTTGGGCCCCGCGGTGGCATCCTCCAGAACTGCCTGGCAGGGTGGCTGGGCCAGCCGGAGGGAGCAAGTGACAGGGACCTTGGGCTGGGCAAGGGGCTGAGGTGACTCCCCGAGACTGGGAGGAGAGAGCACAGGCTGAGGTCCAGACAGGAAGTGCCACGAGTTGGGTTGCACCAGCTAGGCTAGACAGGAGTCCCCAGTGCACAGACAGTGTCAGGAAAGCCTCAGGGAGGCCCAGGGCCAGGGGAGGCATTGATCAGAGAGGTTCTGAGAGATTCTCAAGGCCTCCAAGAAAGGAACATGAGGCCCTGCACCACAACATGAGCATGAGCTGTCCCTGGTTGGGCACCTGGGCAGTGGTCTGTGCTTCACCTAGACAGAAATGGCAGTCAAGGAACAGATTCTAGGGGAGGAAACAAAGCTGACCCAGAGGTAACCTGGGCACAAGAGGAATCTGGAAGAGCCCATACCTGCTTAGCAAACCTAAGGTAGTGACATCAGGGTGGAAAAAAATATATATATGTTTATTACTAGCGTTCACCAAAAAAGGTTCACAATGCATTGCTCTAAAGCTCAGTTAACTTCTCTAACACAAGGTAGACATAGTGTGAAGTTTGTCTTCACACATAGTGTGAAGCCAAAACTCAGTTTCCATAAAATATTTTACAAGCATGTAAGTTCCTTATTGACTTTTTCAAAAGAAATTCACGTAGGAAATACGTCCTAACTCATTCTATGATGCCAGCATGACCGTGATACTAAAGCCAACCAAAGACACTAAAAGTAAAGAACACTGCACAGCAATATCCCTTATGAAAGTTGATGCAAAAATCATCAACAAAATAATAGCAAATCAAATTCAGTAGCAGGTTGAAAGGATTATACACCCTGACCGAGTACAATTTGTTCCTGGAATGCAAGGATGGTTCAACACATGAAAACTGATCAGTGTAATATACCACACAAACAGAATGAAGGGGGAGAAACACATGATCATCTCAATTGATGCCAAAAAAAGCACTTGACAAAATTCAACATCTTTAATGATGAAAGAACTCAATAAACTAGAAATAGAAGGAAATTACCTCAACATAATAAAGGTCATATGAAAAATCTACAGGAAATATCATACTCAATGGCAAAAAACTGAAATCTTCTCATCTAAAATCAGGAACAAGGCAGTAATGCCCACTTCTATTCAACATATTACTGGAAGTTCTAGCTAGAGCAATTGGACAAGAAAAAGGGGTGAGGGGGAAGAGGCATCCAAACTGGAAAGGAAGAAGTAAAATTATCTCTATTCCCAGATGATGTGATCTTGTATGCAGAAAATCCTAACAGTTCCACAAAAAAGAAAGAAATAAAATAAGTTAATTCAGCAAAGTAGCAGGATACAAAGTCAACACACAAAAATCAGTCACACTTCTATACACTTAACAGTGAGCAATCTGAAAAGGAAATTAAGGAAACAGTTCATTTACAATAGCATCAAAAAGAAGAAAGTACTTAGGAATTAACCAAAGAAGTGAAAGACTTTTTCACTGAAAACTACAAGACAGCTGAAAGAAATTAAAGAAGATGTAAATAGAAAGATATCTCATGTTCAAGGATTGGAAGACTTAATATTGTATTGAAATATCAATACTACACAAAGTGATGTATAGATACAGTGCAATCCCTATCAAAATTCCACTGACCTTTTTTGCCAAAATAGAAAAACCTATCCTGAAATTCATAGGGAATCTCAAAGGACTCCAACTAGCCAAAACAATTATAAAAAATAAAAACAAAGCTGGAGGACTCACAGTTCCTGATTTCAGAACTTACTACAAAGCAACAGTAATCAAAAAAGTATGGCACTGGCATTAAAAACAGACATATAGAACAATTGAATAGAATAGAAAGCCATGAAACTAACAATCATATACATAAATGATTTTTGAAAAGGGTACCAAGACCATTCAATGGAGAAAAGACAGTCTTTTTTAACAAATGGTGCTTATAAAACTAGATATCCACATGCAAAAGAATGAAGTTGGACCCTTACCTAAACACCATATAAAAAATTAACTCAAATGGATCAAAGACCTAATTGTAAGGCCTAAAACTAAAAAATGTTTAGAAGACAACATAGGGCAGAAACTTTCTAACATTGGATTTGGCAGTGATATATTAGATATAACATCAGAGGAACCAGCAGCAAAAGAAAAAAAAGACAAATCAGATTTTTCAAAAATTAAAAAATGTTGTGTATCAACACTACCAGCCCGGTGTGGTGGCTCATTCCTGTAATCCCAGCACTTTGGGAGGCTGAGGCGGGAGAATCACTTGAGCCCAGGAGTTCAGGACCAGCCTGGGCAATATAGTGAGACTCTGTCTCTATGAAAAAGAAAATTAGCTGAGCATGGTAGTGCATGTTTGTAGTCCCAGCTACTTAAGGGGCTGAGGTGGGAGGATCACTTAAGCCAAGGAGATCAAGGCTGCAGTGAGCCATGAGCATGCCACTGCACTCCAGTATGGATGACAGAGAGAGACCCCGTCTCAAAACAAGTAAATAAGAAGACACTATCGACAGAGTAAAAAGGCAACCCACAGAATGGGGGGAAATTTTGGCAAATTATGTATCTAGTAGGAGGTTAATATCCGGAATATATAGAGAACTCCTAAAATTCAACAACAACGAAAACCAAACTGCCCAATTCAAAAATGAACAAAAGGCTTGAATAGACATTTCTCCAGAGAAGATATATACATGGCTAATGAGCACATGAAAAGGTGCTCAATGTCATTAATGATTAGAGAAATTCAAATCAAAACCTCAATTAAATACCACTTCCCCATGCGTTAGGTTGGCTATTGTAAAAAAACAACAAGTGTTGGCAAAGATACGGAGAAATTGGAACCCTTGCGCACTGTTGGTGGGAACAGTAAATAGTGACTCATTGTGGAAAATAGTTTGGCAATTCCTCAAAAAGGTAAACATAGGATTACCATATGATCCAGCAATACTGTGTCTGGGTATATACCCAAGAAATTGAAAGCAGAGTTTCAAAGAGGTATTTATACAACTATGTTCATAGCAGCACTGTTCATAACATCTAAAACACAGAAGCAACCTTAGTACCCATAAACAGATGAATAGATAAGCAAAATGTGGCCTATCCTTACAACGGAATATTATCCAACCTTAAAAAGGAAGGAAATTCTGACATATGCTGCAGCATGTATGAATCTTGAGGACATGCTGAGTGAAATAAGCCAATCACAAAAAGACAAACATTCCACTTCTAAGAGTACTCAGAGTAGCCCAGATCCCAGAGACAGAAAGTAAAATGGTGGTTGCCTGGAGCCAGGGGCAGAGGGTAATGAACAGTTTTTCTTTAACGGGTGCAGGGTTTTGGTTTTACAAGATGAAAAGAGTTATGGAGACGAACGGTGGTGGTGGTTGCACGACATTATGAATGTATCTAAGACTACTGAACTGTACACTGAAAAATGATGATAATAGTGTTTCACCACAATGAAACAATTGAAAATATACACACATCCGAGAAAGGACTTGTCTATAGAATATATACAATCTCAAAACTCAGTAATAAGAAAACAACCCAATAAAATATGGGAAAGGATTTGAGTGCTCTTCACTGAAGATGATACACAGATGGCAAAGAAGCACATGAAAATTTGCCGAACATCATTAATCACTGGGGAAATGCAACTGAAAACCAAAATGAAACACACAGAAACAGCAACAAAGCTTGACAATAACAAATGCTTGGTACTGCTGATGGAAATGCAAAATGGTACAGCCACCCTGGAAAACACGTACTTATCACATGAGCCAGAAATCCCTCTCCTAGATATTTATCCAAGATAAATGAAAACTTGTGTTCACACAATATTTATAGTGACTTTACCCATGATTGCCAAAAACTGGAAACAACCCAGTTATCCTTCAGCCGGTGAATGGATGAACAAATTGTGGTGAGGCATACCGGGGAATACTGCTCAGCTGGTGAATGGATGAACAGATTGTGGTGAGGCATACCGGGGAATACTGCTCAGCAAAACAGAGGAACAAACCCTTAGTCTCCACACAAGGACGAGTTCCTAATGCACAGCACTAAGTGAGAGAGGCCACTCCTGCCTTAGTCTGTTTATGTCTAGAAAAGGCAAGTCGGTGGAGGTGAAAGCAGATCAGCGGTTGCCAGGGGCTGGGCATAGGGGAGGGCTTGACTACAAAAAGGCACAAGAGAATTTTGGGGTTGCTTAACAGTTCTTTGTCTTGATGGTGGTGGTGATTACAGGACTATGGTTTCATCAAAACTTACAGAACTATTCACTGAAAAGGGGGAATTTTATTGTATGTAAATTATACCTTGATAAACCTGATTACATTAAAAATTCATAAGGGCAAATAATTTACATTTCAGGGCAAAGCCAACTGTGTTTTATGCACTGTAGGTACTCTGGGAAACTATGACAAAAGTAGTACCAATCAAAATTGGGCAATTCTATTAATGAAGTTAAAAATTAGAAAGCTAATCAGTAATATTTATTTCTTATTTATTTCAGAACGACACATCTCCTATAATTCATAGTATCTTGCTGTTGATAGATAAAGAATCTGCATTTAGGCCTGACAAGGATGCAATAATTCAGGTAATGGTTTAGACTGTGGGATCTGGAGTGACAGATAAAATTAAACATTAAGGCACCTACATGAGATTAAACACATGAAAGAATTTAGATAAGTTCTAATTGCATCCATGTGGGAGCCTGGAAACCTACTTCCTACCACGTAAGTCCTCGCAGGAGCCCTGCAGAGTATGCCACGAAAAACTTAAAAATGTGACCTTTCTTCTCCACCTCATATGTTTTCTTTCCTTCTCTTTCTTTGTATCGTTCTCTTTTATCGGAAAACATCTTCATTTGGCCTCATTCTGAAAGGATATTTTTGTTACATCTAGAATTCTGGTTTGAGAGGAGTTTTGCTTTTCCCCTCAGCACTTTAAAGATGCTGCTCTGTTGCCCTCTGGCCTCCATACGTTTAGAAGAAAAGTTCATCATAATTCAGATCACTGTTCATCTCTATGAAGTGTGTTAATTTTCCTTTGGCTGTTTCCAAGGTACTTCCTTTCTTTTCAGCAAATTGACTGCAATGCGAGTGGGCTTGGTTTTCTTCATTATCCTGTTTTGGCTTGAACTCTTAAATTTGTGAATTCATGTCTATCACCACATTTAGGACCTTTTTAGCCATTCTTTCTTTCTTTTTTTTTTTTCCTTTTGTGAGACGTCATCTAGCTCTGTCACCCAGGCTGGAGTGTGGTTGTGCAATCAGAGCTTACTGTAATCTCCAACTCCTGGGCTCAAGTGATTCTCCCACCTCAGCCTCCTGAGTAACTGGGACTGAAGGTGTGCACCACCACACCAAGCTACTTTTTTTTTTAAGAGACAGGGTCTTGCTATGTTGCCCAGGCCGGCCTCCCATCTTGGCCTCTCAAAGCTCTGGGATTGTAGGCATGAGCCACAGTACCTGGCCTAGTTCTTAGAATTTTTTTTCCTGCTTTATTCTCTCTCTTCTCTCTTTCTAGTACTTCAATTGCATATACTAATATTGTCCCACAGATCTCTAAGAATCTGTCTTTTTTAACTTTTTTCCTCTCTAGTCTTCAGATCAGGTTGTTCTATTGATCCTGTCCTTAGGGTCACTGGTTCCTTACTCTGTCATCTCTTCGGCTGTTAAGCTCACTAATGTGGCTTGGCTCTGTGTCCTCACCCAAATCTCCTGTCAAATTTTAATACCCACGTGTGGAGGGAGGGACCTGCTGGGAGGTGACTGGATCGTGGGGGCAGATGCTGTTCTGATAGTGAGGATTTCTCATGAGACCTGATGCTTTTAAAGTGTGGCCCTTCCTTACTCTGCCTCTCTCACCTGTGCCATGGAAGACGTGTCTTGCTTCTCCTTTGCCTTCTGCCATGATTGTAAGTTTCCTGAGGCCTCCTCAGCCATGCAGAATTGTGAGTCAATTAAACCTCTTTCCTTTATAAACTACCCAGTCTCAGGTAGTATCTTTATAGCAGTGTGAAAACAGACTAATACATTCACCCAGTGAATGTTTTAGTTCAAATATTGTATTTTTCAGCTGTAAGATTTCCAGTGGATTTTAAAATATATTTTCTACATCTTTCCTGAGTTTTCCTCTCCTTTCATAAATTGCAGGCATTTTTCCTTTACCTCATTGAGCACGGTTTTAATGGCTGCTTTGAAATCCTTGTCTAATAATCCAGCATCTGGGTCATCTCTGGGTTGGCCTCTGCTGATTGTCTTTCCCTGGAGAATAGATCCTATGTTTCTGATTCTTGATGTGTCACGTAATTCCGGACATTGTAAATATTCTGTTGGGGAGACTGGATTCTGTAATAGACTCACAGTGTTACTCTGATGTGCACGTAACATGGTTAGACTCAAACCAGAAGCTCTGTCACCCACAGTGGGTTCAGTTTAATTCTCTGAGTCCTCCCCATGCATGCACAGTTCAGGGTCAGCCAGAAACTTGGGCAGAGTTTACACACACACCACGGGGCTTCTTCCACAGCTGCCCCCTTCTGGGAATCTACTTTCACTTTCCAGTGGTGTGGCCACCCCATCCTCTGTCTCTTCTTTCTTCAGGCCAGAAAGATGCCCGTTTTCTTATTGTTTTTATATTTTATTTATGTTTTTAAATAAAATCGAGCTCCATTGCTGAGACTGAATTGCAGTGGTGTGATCATGGCTACTTGCAGCCTTGACCTCCCCAGGCTCAGGTGATCCTTGCACCTCAGCCTCCTGAGTAGCTGGGTCTACAGGTGTGCACTAGCACGCTCTGCTAATGTTTGTAGTTTGTTTTGTGGAAATGGGAGTTTTGTCCTATTGCACAGGCTGGTCTTGAACTCTTGGGCTCAAGTGATCCGCCTGTCTTGGCCTCCCAAAGTGCTGGGATCACAGGTGTGAGCCTCCACACCAGCCAGATGTCCCTCTCTTTTCCTTTTTTTTTTGAGACAGAGTCTTGTTCTGTGTTGCCAGGCTGGAGTGCAGTGGCATAATCTTGGCTCACCGCAACCGCCACCTCCTGGGTTCAAGCGATTCTCCTGCCTCAGCCTCCCGAGTAGCTGGGACCACAGGCGCCCGCCACCATGCCCAACTAATTTTTGCATTTTTAGTAGAGATGGGGTTTCACCATGTTGGCCAGGGTATTCTCGATCTCCTGACCTTGTGATCCACCCGCCTCAGCCCCGCAAAGTGCTGGGATTACAGGCGTGAGCCACCGCGCCCAGCCCCTTTCCTTTCCTTTCCTTTTTTTTTTTTTTTTTTTTTTTTTTTTGGTTTTACAAAGCCACCTGCTGTCAAAAGGATGCCTGTTTTCTGTTGGAGCTCAGCCACTCCCTGCTGGCAGCGGCCCTGAGGACCGAGCACAGCGGGAACTCGCCCCCGCTGGCCCCGCATGCAAGCGTTAGGTGCCCCCACAATAAGCCTGACTTGTCTCAGCTGCTGGGGCTTTCAGGAAACTGTCCTTATATTTTGTCCAGAGTTTGTGGGTTTTATCTGAGAAGGGCCACCTCTGCCGCACCAGGAGAACAGCCTTGACTCATTCATTCCCTTTTCCTTCTTCTTTCTCCCCTTTTTTTTTTTTTTTTTTTGGTTTTTCTTCACCAGGGCCTTTCCTTCATTTCTCTTTGCTCTCTACTTTCCCGTCTTCTCACTTTCATTACTGCACCCAGACAGGTGCTGTTATCAGTGCCTCCAGCAAAGCAGGGGCGATACTCCCTGAGCCAGCCTCTCCGTCCTCCAAACCCAGGAATGAGCCATTTACAGGGTTTTCCCCCAAGAGATGCATCTGGAGCCATGACCAACGAGTGCCTCTTCTTGGCAGTGTGAGGTCGTGAGCTCCCTGAAGGCCCTGCACAAATTTGTCGACAGCTGCCAGCTGACCACAGACCTCGACGGCTCCTTTCCCTACAGCCATGGTGACTGGATCTGCTTCCGTCAGGTGGGTTCAGCCCACAGCTGCTGCACATGCCACGGTCTCTGGGGACTTTCTCTCATGTGGACGTTTTTACTCAAATTTGAAAAGACATCACCATCCCTGATCTCATGCCTATTACAGTCACCATTCAGGTCTTGGTGTCTCCACAACCACGCCGTGGTGCATCTGAGATGCCAAGCCTGGGTGGGAAGGGCACTGCTGCCCCAGAAGTGTCTGTAGATCTCAGGGACCTTCACACATGGAAGCTTCCCAACCCGAGATGGGTTTAAATGCAGGAACTGGAACTCACAGCTGCTTTCTTTAGCATCTGACAGACCGTGTCCTTATAATCTCCTCCCTCTCAACTCAAAACAGAGGCTGGAACACTTCGCTGGAAACTGCGAAGAAGCCATCACTTTTCTACAGAATTCATTCTGCTCCCTGAACACCCACAGAACCCCAAGTACAGCCCAGGTAAGTCCCCACACTGGCAGGTAAGTTCACTTCGTGTGACAGGTAGGTGGGGGCAGAAAGGTTTAGCCAAACATGAAAATAAATATTTGGTTCACCATCATCTGTAGCAGAGATTTTCAAATCCTTTTTCATTATCCTGTTTAGGCTTGAACTCTTAAATTCCCTCTCAATTCACAAAAGGCCATTTCCTCCCCTTTGTCACCAAAAACGTTCCACCGTACCCAGAAGGAAAACCGTGTTGCTGCACTTGACAGTGTGCAGCGGCGTGAGCAGCAGCGGCTGCCAGGAATGAGTCACTCCAACAAGACAGAGGCGGGCGGACCACAGGGCTCTTAGCCCAGCCGCCAGGCCGAGGGGCCCAGGGTCTGTGGGTGAGGCCTGCATGTCTGTCCCTGGTCTAAATGGCAGGTTCACCTCCTACAGTTGAGCTTTGAGCCCCCTTCTTCTCCCTCCCAGGGGTCTTACCCTGGGGCTCACCCTCCCTGGGACAGTCTAGACCATCAGCTTCAGGAGTGGGCACAGTTGTGCCACCAGCTTGATTTACGGAAACAGGAACGTGGGTCACACTCCACATTCCTGCCACTGTTGCACTTGGGAGGACCTGCCCCTTGGAGGAGGGGGTTAAAGGCGTATTCCTCCCCACCCCATGCAGGAAGTCACCGAGTTAATTGACCAGCACGAGACGATGATGAAGCTTGTCCTGGAAAACCCACTGCTTGTGTCCCTCAGGCTGGAGGGGGGCACCGTCCTGGCACGGCTGAGGAGAGAAGAACTCGGCACAGAAGATGGCCGGTGAGCGCTCACGGGGGCCATGCTGGGGCCTGGCCCATCAAGGGGGCTGCTCAGGGGAGTCTGCAGCCAGGAGGCGTAGCGCTCTGCTCCAAGGAGAGCCCTGTCTGTGCTGGGTCCAGACCTCCGTTCTGCAGGCCACGCTTTGCCTGGGTCCGAGCTTTTCCACATTTACAGGCTCCAAAGATCAAGGAGCCGGCTTCTGGGGACGCTCGGTGGGAGGTGGCCAGAGTGTGCCAGAATGAGCTCGTTCTTGACCCGTGCTGCCTGGGGAGCTGTGCCCACCCCCAGCCGTCCCCGTGTATCTCAGCTGCACGCAGCCAGTCCAGCCTAGGCTATGGGTCCCCTCCAGACGCCTGCATCCCAGGCCGGCCAGGATGTTGGCAGAACGCGTGCAGCACGTCTGTGTGCCGCCTGGGCTGTGGGCCTCCTCCTGGGGCTCCCGTTGCCTTCTGACATGAGGGAACAGAAAGAGCAGCGTTTTTACCTGGGGTTGTCACCAAGAGCAGATTCCTCCAGGGGCCGCCTGGGAGCCTGAGGACTGCCTCCTCTTCCTCAGGGACACCCTGGAGGCTGCCACCAGCCTGTACGACAGAGTGGATGAGGAGGTGCACAGGCTGGTCCTCGCCTCGAACAGTCGTCTCCAGCAGCTGGAGCGCCTCCGGGAGCTGGCATCGCTCCAGGACGGGAATGACCAGGTCAGAGCTGCAGGAAGAAGGAGGCCTGGTCAGCGTCCCCTCCAGGCCAGGCTGGCCAAGGCGACCCTCCCACCTTCACACTGCGTCTTTAGGGCCTTGACCTGATTTCCATCTGGAACGAAATTACGTCAGGATAGGGCATGCCTTGCTGCTTGTGTAAAAAGAAATAAATTTTATTTTTTACCTGAGAGATACTGGATCAGTGGAGAAAAAAATTTGTTTAATCCAGAGGAGGCCAAGGAGAAAAATAATTTCACACTGTGTCTTCTGATGTGACCCGTGTGAATGGCTGGGTGTATCATCTTCCGGATGCTTTTTCCACATGCGTGTGCACACGGTGGCCGAGGAGCCGAGGTGAAACTGCACAGGTAGAGAGGGTCTGGGCCGAGGCTGAGGACGGCAGCCGGGAAACAACCTCCAGGTGACCTCAGGAAGTGGCTCTGGAGGCCACGGAGAGGCTCGAGGTTTTAAAGAAAAGAGGACAAGTCAGGAGGGGTGACGACAGAGGTGGCTTTTCATGATTCTCTGGGTCACAGAAATGGCATTGGTGGGTTGACCACGCGCTGCTGGATGACAGGGTGTGAGTTGTGGTGTCCAGTGTGCAGCGTGGCTGGGGTTACTGATGGCCCTTGGTGGACACACTGCAGAATCTGCGGTCCATATAGCAGCGGCTCTGAAATGATTGCTTAACTCGGGGGGTGCCAGCAAAATGATTGCTTAGCTTGGGGGCACGGACAGCGCTGCTGCCTCACTCTGGTGCTCTTCTGGGCCTGACAGTTTAAGGGGCGCATGCTCAGATGAAACGTTTCTCTGTTTTGTTGCATATAAACTCTTCAAAACTTGCACATTTTTATATAAATCCTTATTATTTTATCAACAACTGTTACTGCAATGAATGTGCGGGTGAAAGCCGGCAGCATGGAGAGGCGTGCAGCGGGGCTAGAGGCATCCCCAGCCCTCCCATCTGCTGACAAGCCCCCCCGGCCTTCAGGTCCATGCGCTCCTCACGGGAGCCTCCAGGGACGTGAGGGACGTGCGGCAGGGACGTGAGGCGGTGTGCTCGCTCCCGGCCTCCCCACTACTGACCCCAGCTCCCAGGCGTTGGCCAGGGGCCCAGCTGGTCCAAGCCCTGGGGTGGGAGCAGGAACCCCACACCAGGCAAGTGCAGTCAGGCAGAGCTGCAGCCACCAGCCAGTCCGGGCTGTCTCTGTGCCCTCTGTCCTGGGGGTCTCCCTCCATCTCCCCCTCCTCCCTCTGCCTGTCCTGGGGGGTCTCCCCCATCTTCCCCTCCTCCCTCTGCCTGTCCTGGGGGGTCTCCCTCCATCTCTCCTCCTCCCTCTGCCCATCCTGAGGGTCTCCTTCGTCTTCCCCTCCTCGTCCTACTCCTTCCTGGGGGGTCTCCCCCATCTCCCCTCCTCCCTCTGCTCTGTCCTGGGGTCTCCTCCATCTCCCTCCCCATTCTGCCCCGTCCTGTGGGGTCTCCTATTTCCTGTACCCACGTCTTCCTCTTTTTTCATTTACTTTGGTGTTTTATGCAGAATAACTTCCAGGACTTCCCAGAGAATGGGATCTTGGGATGAGCATTTTTGAGGCCGTGGTACCTAAAAGTGTCTCTACTCCACCTTCACGGCCAGCAGTCACTTCAGTTTCCCTTCGCCAGCTGGAAGGCCCTGCACCCCAGCTTAGCCTCCGTCCCACTCCCAGCCTTCCGCCTGCGCCCTGCTTCTCGCTGGAAGCTGCAGACTTTCCTGTCGTCCTCGGGGCTCTGGAATCTGAGGGTCTCCCAGGTGCACTGAGGGCAGGTGTGCTGAGGACAGGTGCGCTGAGGGCAGGTGCGCTGAGGGCAGGTGTGCTGAGGGCAGGTGTGCTCTTTGCGTCTGCACCACGCTCCTCTCTTCTGGGACTTCTGTGACACGTCCTTCGTCCTTCGTGGCGCTTGCGTTTCCCGCGGCTCCACCCTTCAATCTGGTCCTGGAGTTTTCTGTCCTGTCGCCTCAGTTCTCCCCACCGCCAGCTGTGTGCTGTCCTTGTAAGGCAGACGTTCTCGGCTTTACCCTCTGACTCTATTATTGGGTTTTGGTTTCTGCTCTTGCTTTTTAACTCCACAGGCTTGTTTGTTTTCTGAACGATCCCCCCTCTGTGCTAATCACGACGAGTGCACGGCCTGTGGCTTCTGCGGTGTGTTCTGGTACCAGAGGCTTTCCTGGCCCCCCTGGTTAGGAAGCCTGTGGCCCACGCGTCTGTAGCTTTTTCTCCCTGGTGATCTGATTCTTCTCCTCTAATCCCGGCCTGAAGCGGGTGCCTGGCCACAGCTCAGTGTTCACCTGCTGCACTGCCTGGATCACCCCAACCTGGGAACAGACCCCAGGCCCTGTGGAGCAGGCGCCCCGGCTCCTTCCCTCCCACACTCCCTCACGCCGTCCTGTGGAGTCTTGGGACTTCACCTCTGCTCTCCTCAGACCCTGCCAGTCCCGCCTCCTTCCTGGCCTCCAGGTTTGTGCCCTGGCTGCTCTCTGCCCACTGTGCTGAGGGTCACACACCTTGGAAGATGCTGGCAGGGCTTTAGTGGTGTCTCAAGAGGACACATCTCGCTCTGCAGTCTTCACACAGAAACTCTACACGTGACCGGATAGGGGGTCAAGCTGTGTATAGGTGCACGTCTGTCTCTATATATTTAACCTAAGAAGTGCGTGCACACTGTGGGAAAATTAGAAACAAATAGATTTTCACACACGGGATGATGCATGTGGCGGCCTTGGCACCCTGTGCGTGGGCGTGCGCTGCAAGCTGGGTCCCCGAGCTGTGTTCGCACTGATGGTTCTGGGCTCCTCCCCTCTCTGCCGTTAGAAGCGTCCCCATGTTGAACATCTCTGTGTCTCTGCTTCCTTCACAGCCCGTGGGTGTTGACTCTGGATACATTCCTAGGCTCGGATGGCTGGGTCAGGCCATTCGTCTTTGGAGGTTTCCGTGCATGGGCCGTGGCACTCCAGCCGCACCTGCCTCCTGCCGGCCACCCCGTGGGGAAATGGAGCCCCTCAGCAGTGCGCCCTCAGATTTTCTATGCTACAGCTGGACATTCTCTTCACACATTTATTATTTTTATTTCTGTAGTGAATTACTTGTTCATGCTTTAGACAGTTTTTCCAGGGTTGATCATCACTTCTGTCTGTGTTATACGGATCCTTCACGTTCCACTTGTTTTCCCAGTTTTTCATTTGTCCTCTAGCTTTGCTTATCTTTTAAACAACCCTTTCTACTCTAAGGTTATAGAATTATTAGTATAGTTCATCATAGAACCTTTACGACTTGAATTTTTGTATTTAAATCTTGAAACCAGTGACAGCCGATTTTCCTGCAAGGTTGGAGGCTGGGCTCTGGCTCTGCGCCACCCCCACTCGGCTCTGCCGATACCGCACCTGCCCCTCACCTGGCAGCTCCAAGGCTCCACCCGTGCTCCTAAGAATCAAGGTGCTGTGATTCTCTTCTTGACTCTGGCTCTGTTTAAAGACAGCGTACGCACTGGTCTGTCTCTTCTCTGCTGCATGTCTGGGGTCACTGGGTACCTTTCTGATGGTTATGGATCCAGCCAGCTGTTCTCTTCTCCACAACAGGCCTCTCATCTCTGGGCATCTGACCCCCAGTCGCCCCTGGTGTTGCTGTTTAATGACAACATGAAGGGCTTACCTCTGACATTTCCACTGAGTCCAGCGGTAAAACGCCTCCAAAATAAGAACCTTGGTCTTGTCACCAGGGTACGTAGCCACAGGCGCTCTGCCCAGCAGGGCTCAGCCAAGGGCTCCCCCGTCTTTCCCAGGCAGCCTCAAGGGGCCAAGCAGCCACTTGCATGAAGAATATTTCTGGAATAAGTTTACCATATTAACCAGTTTCAAAGTGGAAAATCCTGGATCTGTCGTTCAATGATTTTAATGTCCATTTCCAAACAATGAAAATAGCCTGGAGCTTGAGCCTCAGAGGCCTGTGACCACCTCTCATCAGTCGTGTCCATTCACGGGGGTTACGCAGCCAGGCCGTCAGCCCTGTGCAGTGTGTACTCAGGACAGGACCAAGACACATCCCTCCCGGGGTCCTGCTAAATCCTAGAGTGTGACTCCTTCATGTGTTTAAATATAAATGTTCTTCCCCTGTGTAGATCAAATCACGGTTTGGAAAAGAACTAGAGAAATTCCTCGGTCCTTTGGTGCCTGCTCTTGAGAACGGGAGGCAGCGGCAGGCAGCACTGTGGGCCGTCCCAGCCTTGGTGTTGGTGGCTACACGCAGACCCCGCCCCCACCTGGAGACACGAACGTGGAAGCGCCAGGCTTGTACTGATAATGTGTTCCTTGGGTGCAGCAATCCTGCCAGAAAGGACTGCAGCTGGTGAAGCAGAACCCGCATCATACAGAGGAAATGGTCCAGGATTTCAGAAGGGGCCTGAGCGCCGTGGTCAGCCAGGCTGAGTACAGGGAGGGAGAGCTGGCCAGGTGGACCCGCCCATCCGAGTTGTGCGAGACGGTAAGAGACCCAGCGGGTGTGCGTCCCAGGGATCCCGGCTCCTTAGGCTGTGGGCATTTACGCCTCCCCACACAAGTTGGAGAGGGTGGGCCAGGCTCTGGGACAGAGGCTGGGCGCCTGCGATGGAGCCCCTGGCCACTGCACCCACAGCTCTCTGGAGAAGGCTCTGAGTTGACCTGTGAAGCATTCGATATTGTACCAAACAGACCAGCCAAACTCACACACACATTTCTCTGTGTGTTTAGTGGCTCAGTTACAAAATTCCACTGACTGCCCAAAACCCCAAACAAGTGCTGCAGCAGATTGCACGCCTGCAAGCTCCCCCGCGCCCGGGACCGCACGCCGGCGAACTCCCCCGCGCCTGGGACCGCACGCCATTAGGAGCTCACCTGTCAAGACAGCATTTGAGGGGGTCATGGGGTGGCCAGAGCAGGGTAGAGCCATCTGCCCCGTCATGCCTCTCTCAGCTCACAGGATGTGGCACGTACACGGTGTCTTCACGTGGTCCTAGGACATCCCCCATGGTGCCCTCTGGCATGGAGAACAGACCCCGTGGAGTCAGATACAGCCCACCTGCCCTTCGGTTGAACCCAGCCACAGCCCCCACTGGCTGGCAGGGCTGCCTCTCCCTCTGCTGTCTGGTCCCCTGCTCCCTGACTAGGCTGACCTGGGAACAGCAGTGCCTGAGCTGGCTCTGGGGCGGCCCCTCCTCCACTGCACTGAGCAGAGCCCTCCTTGTCCCACAGGCGAGCAGCTGGATGGGGCCCCTGGACCCGGAGGCTTATCCCTCCTCACCCGTGGCTGAGTGTTTGAGGAGCTGTCACCAGGAGGCTACCTCGGTGGCTGCAGAGGCCTTCCCCGGGGCAGGTGTGGCAGTGCTGAAGCCTCAAACCCTGGGGAGACCGTGGGCATCGCCGCAAGACCTGTGGCTGCAGTGCCCTCAGACCCGGCTCCATCTGGAAGAGGCCCTTGCTGAGGCCACCCCAGGCCCCAGCTTACCGCCTCTTGCCCAGAGCCCCCCAAAGCATGAGTGTGCTCAGGAGGCCATGAGGAGGCCCCATAAGCCACCCTCAGTTCCCAGCACGGACACTGAGGATGGTGCCTGGGAACCTGGCCTCCCTGGACGAGCACTTCTGTGTGGACAGGATGGGGAGCCCCTGGGCCCAGGGCTGTGTGCTCCATGGGACCCAGTGTCCCCCCTCAGGGGCCTTTCAGGGACAGCGGCCACCATGGCCCACCCGGAGGACAGCTCTGCCTGCTCCTCTGAGCCCACCCAGACCCCGGCCAGCCGCCCCAGAAAACATCCCCAGAAGAAAATGGTAAAGAAAATGCAAAGTTTCGAGATACCTCAGCCCGACAGTGGCCCCAGGGACTCCTGCCAGCCAGGCCATACCAGTGTCTTCAGCAAGGGCCTGGAGGTAACCAGCACTGTGGCCACAGAGAAGAAGCTCCTGCTGCAGCCGCAGGCCAGGAGCCACCCGGTCACTCGGAGCCAGAGTCTGTCCTCTCCCTCGGGGCTCCACCCTGCTGAGGAGGACGGGAAGCGGCAGGTGGGCAGGTAAGGTGAACATCCCCCTCCTCTCGTCCTAGCAGCCCTTGGGGATCTAGAAACCCAAAGCCATTTCGGCATTAAACTCTCTTCTGCAAAGTAGAAAGTAAATCCACAGACATCCCTCTGGGTCCACCTGCCCGGTCCAAGAAGAAACACAATTTTAAACTAGATATGAGTTACCTGCCCCCATGTTCAGAGGGGACCACTGAAAACTGCCTGGATGGTGTGTGTTAACCCGCACACACTCACTCTGATGGTTAAGTAACCGTGTGACCAACTCTAGTTATTTTCAGCCCACTTACAGAAAATTACAGGCAGCAAATCAACCCCCGACACCAAGAAGGGTTACCTTAAAAATACGTTTTAGAAAGTCTCTAAGTGTTAGGGTACGAAGGCGCACCCGTGCGTCCATTGCCTCACTGAAGAGGCCCCTTCTCACTTGTTGAGCCTGCAGAGGACGCATCCGCTCACAGGTAAGGGTGGGCGCGCTCGGCCCCTGCCTAGGCCGGATGCCGTCTGAACCTCCATCTTCCGCCCACGTGGTGTGGCCGTGAGGGCTGGAGGTGGAGAATTTCAGGAGGTGCTTTGTCATTTGGTTGGCTTCTGCGTCTTGGGCCAACAATCTCCAACCTTTCTGGCACCAGGGACAGGTTTCATGGAAGACAATTTTTCCACAGACCGCAGGGGTTGGGGGGATGGTTTTGGGATGAAACTGCTCCACTTCAGCTCATCAGGCTTTAGATTCTCATAAAGAGCACGAAACCTAGACGCCTCCCGCGCGCGGCAGCGTCCGTGCTCCTCCGAGACTCCACCGGCGCCACTGATCTGACAGGAGGGCGGGGCTCAGCTGGTAACTCGCTGCCTGCCGCTCACCTGCTGCTGGGCGGCCTGGTTCCCAATAGGCCACAGACGGGCACCAGTCAGTGGCCCCGGGGGTTGGGGGCCTCTGCCTTAAGCTCCATAGAAGGGGTTTCCTCCTCATGCCCTGATCGCAGGTTTAATCTGAACGGAGAAGGCCACAGAACGCTCTTCTGAAACACACCTTTAGGTGCCAGACCTCAGTCTTTACCTTGTTAAGGGTAAAACTCCAGGTAGAACATGAAGTTCTGGTTTTTACCATTGGTGTGAGTGATCCAGGGATATCTGCCGGCTGGGCCTGAGTACAGGCTGGCCCTTCCGAACCGGTAAGAGGAACGCCGAGCGCTGTCCCTGAGTCTCAGCAGGTGGCTGCACTGATGATTCTGTCTCCACTGAGCCCATGTTTCAGGTTTGGGAGGTGGCAGAACACAGGAGGGGGGGACCCCCGCCCACCCTGTGTGATTTCCAGCTGTTGCTGCCTAGTGAGTACATTGTCCATTTGGTCAAGACCATCCTTGTTCTGATTTTGTTTCTGGATATTTACTGAGGAGGCTTTTGTGTGGGTCACGACATCGGGCCTCGGCCTTCCCGCCTGTGCTGTGAGGGCCAGTTCCTGACCAGCCGGGAGGTGCTGTGTTCTCAGAAACAGTGAGAATCTGTCAAATCTGTGATGCAGGAGTGAAGGGGACAAGTTCTGCAGCTCTGCTGTGAATGGAATGTGCGTTCAGCAGCACGTCTGCCCACAGCTGTGCTTCCCAGCATTAGCTGCTTTTAAGTTTTTCCAACTTAAAAAACAAGCAAATACAAATAATGGTAGAAAAATAATCTTCCAACTCCCATTGGTATCATTAGGATCGAGTTATTTAAGAAGGTTGGGGGTAAGATGCTATCGAGTAGAGCAGAAAAGCCGTGTACCTCACTATTTATTAGGGAGGGCCCCCGGGTCACCAGTGGCCCTTTGCAAGTGCAGTTGATGGGTGGTCAGAGCTGCAGAGCTGTGGGACATGCCAGACCCCACCCCAGCAGAACCTGGAGAACCTTCTCCCGGGGAGTCCCACAGCCCAGGCCAGGCTTTGGCATTCACGCTGCCGGAGTGTGGGCCCTGCCCTCCAGGCTCAGTTGCTGAGAGCGACCAGGTGGCCACACTCCAGCCAGCTCATGAAACCGAGCCACCAGCCTAAGCGTCCTGCATTTGTTTACAGTGAATGTAAAAGTGTTTTTGGATGCTTAGCGTGTTTTTAATGGTTAAAAAAAAGAGAAAAATACACAAAAGAATAGCACCTGATTTGGGAAGCCCAGTTTGGGCCTCTGTGATCTCAGCACCGCAGTTTTGCATGCGAGGACCCCCCCGGCCAAGCTGACCACACCGGCCAGCCCACCTCTCCACTCTCTCAGGGCAACACGAGTGGGTCCTCCGGGTCCTGCCAGCCCTGGGGATACAGAGGTGGTGAGACTCCGGGCAGCCGCGGAGGAGCCCACATCTCCCGCAGACGTGTGTTGTCAGGACGGGTTCTTCGAAGACTCAGCAGTGCATCGGAGGCTCACCCCTCACGGGAGCAGTGCCCCTACAAAGCCTGCTCGGCGGCCCCTCCGCAGGACCCTCGTTCAAGGCAGGGAGACCCCAGCCGAGGGTGGGGCAGTGGGTTCCATGGACGGCCGTCCCTGGGGCCTAGCCTGCTGTTGTCCACCTCTGGGCCGTCCTGCGCCCCCAGCCTTGCTCTCCGGCCGCTGCGGCCCCCGAGTCCCCCTGAAGCTGCTGCGTAAGGTGCTGAGCCCCTTGAGTCAGGAGTGACTGCCGCGGAAGCCGACTCTCAGGAAAATCTCCTGGTCGGTCAGCAGTGGGCGTGGATCCGAAAGCTGTTTTCTCACGAAATCTCCACCACAGCCTTCCTTGCAGAAGCGCTGCTGCTGGAAGTGTTTGAGTCGTGTTACCGCTGGAATCGAGCCGGCTGGAACGAGAAACGTTACGTTCAGAGTTTCCGTTAGGGAGCCTGGGAATCTCTTTCTGGGTTTCCAAGAGGATCTTTCCTCTGAAACATATGGAAATGTTTCACATGACAAGCTTCTTTTTGAAATATTGTCCTTATCTTTTCAAGTTACCGTGTATCAGGGGAGCGGCTCCAGGTAACAGGGAGAGAATGAGCGGGGGTGCAGGTGAGTCACTCCCTGCTGAGGACGTGCGGTCGGCTGGAAGGTTCTTTTTTTTTTTTTTTGAGACAGAGTCTCGCTCTGTCACCAGGCTGGAGTGCAGTGGCTCAGTCTCGCCTCACTGCAACCTCCACCTCCCGGGTTCAAGTGATTCTCCTGCCTCAGCTTCCCAAGTAGCTGGGACTACAGGTGCGTGCCACCTCCCCCAGCTAATTTTTGTATTTTTAGTAGAGACGATGTTTCACCATGTTGGCCAGGCTGTCTCTATCTCTTGACCTCGGGATCCACCCACCTCAGTCTCCCAGAGTGCTGGAATTACAGGCGTGAGCCACCGCGCCCGGCCAGAAGTGTCTTTATTGTGAATCCCACATGTGCCCATGTGCCTCCGGTCCACGTGTGACCGTGCTCGTGCCTCCGGGTCTCCGTGTGTTTCTGTCTCAGGCATGAATTGCTTTTAATAACGTGTCCGTGGGGGGCCCTGTGCCCCCGGGATCTCTGTGTCTTCCAGCAGCCGACTGAGGCACATCATGGCCGAGATGATCGCTACGGAGAGGGAGTACGTCCGGTGCTTAGGATACGTCATCGACAACTATTTTCCGGAAATGGAGAGAATGGACCTGCCCCAGGGCCTTCGAGGGAAGCACCACGTTATTTTCGGCAACTTGGAGAAGCTCCACGACTTCCACCAGCAGCACTTCCTCCGGGAGCTGGAGCGCTGCCGGCACTGCCCCTTGGCCGTGGGCCGCAGTTTCCTGAGACACGTGAGTGCAGGCCGTGGCGTGGACGACGGGTGACGTGGTGGGCGAAGCCGGTGTCAGGGAGGCGGGGCCTGCAGCGCCCACGTGTCAGGCGGTTGGAGTGGCTTCCGCCCAGGCCTGGGAGCTGGTCCTGACGGGATGATTAGACCAGCCGACAAACAGACGCCCCACATGGATAACCTGTGGGTCTCCAGTGCCCAGTGCTTTGCAGGTGGTGTGACCAACTGCCTCCCTGCTGCCCCTGGAGGCGGGGGCTCCGCGGACACCATCACACCCGTTCCGCCAGCTCCTTTACCACTTCCGGCTGATAGGCCAGAAGCAGTTCCCAGAATCACCTTCTGGGGAGGGGCCAGGCCTCACCCCTTCACAGGCCCCCTGCCCCTGGGTGCCCCGTTACCTGCCAGAGGGACCAGCCTGTCCCGACAGGACGTGTGTCCCAGACCATTGAGCACAGATTACCACATCGAAAACAGCCGTGGACAAAAGAAGCTCATGTTCCATCTTTTCAGTGTCCTTTCTTTTTTTTTTCCCTTTGATATGGAGTCTCGCTGTGTCGCCCAGGCTGGAGTGCTGTGGCACAATCACAGGTCAGGGCAGCCTCCGCCTCCCGCGTTCAAGTGATTCTCCTGCCTCAGCCTCTTTAGTAACTGAGACTACAAGTGCACGCCACCGGGCCTGGCTAATTTTTGTATTTTTAGTAGAGACGGAGTTTCACTGTGCTGGCCAGGCTGGTCTTGAACTCCAGACCTTGTGATCTGCCCGCCTCGGCCTCCCAAAGTGCTAGGATTACAGGCGTGAGCCACCGTGCCCGGCCTCAGCATTTTCTTAAAAGGTGCTTTTAGACATAAAGTACAGATTCATATTGACCATAATTGTGGCAATTTTAAATGTCTTGACAGCTTTAGCTCTTGGCCATTGACCAAATCGTTCCACTGCCCCCCACGCCCTCCCAGGCCCACTGCCAGCTGTATCCTCTTCCCCCCTCAACCCCCTGGAGTCTGTGTTTTAAAGACAAATTACAGAATTCTCAGCATTGAGGTTGCAGCTGGTAAACTGGTCACCTCTGGGGCCCCCTTGCTGGGGACACTGCGATAGTCTGTAATGAAGGGCTGAGTCTCCCTGTCACCTGGTCATGGTACGAACCGCACCTGGAGGGTCTTGGGACGGGAGCAGGTCCAAGTCTGACCCGGGCTGTAAGAGCCTGCCGTCTCCGTGCCTGTCACCCCCAAGTCTGACCCGGGCTGTAAGAGCCTGCCGTCTCCGGGCCTGTCACCCCCAAGTCTGACCCGGGCTGTAAGAGCCGTCTCTGGGCCTGTCACCCCCAAGTCTGACCCGGGCTGTAAGAGCCGTCTCCGGGCCTGTCACCCCCAAGTCTGACCCGGGCTGTAAGAGCCGTCTCTGGGCCTGTCACCCCCAAGTCTGACCCGGGCTGTAAGAGCCGTCGCCTGTCACCCCCACAGCCAAGCAGTGGCCTCTGCTTTTCCAGGAAGAGCAGTTTGGGATGTACGTGGTCTACAGCAAGAACAAGCCGCAGTCGGACGCCCTGCTCAGCAGCCACGGCAACGCCTTCTTCAAGGTCATCCCCTCGGCCCACCCCCCGCAGCTGCGCGGCCCTCAGCCAGGCCGGAGCTGACCCTCTTCCCCGGCCCTTGCAGGACAAGCAGCGGGAGCTGGGTGACAAGATGGACCTGGCCTCCTACCTGCTGCGGCCCGTGCAGCGCGTGGCCAAGTACAAGCTGCTGCTCCAGGACCTGCTCAAGGAGGCCAGCCGCGGCCCGGCCCAGGGGCAGGAGCTGGGCGAGCTCCGAGCCGCCGAGGTCGTGGTCTGCTTCCAGCTGCGCCACGGCAATGACCTGCTGGCCATGGACGCCATCCGCGACTGTGACGTAAGTGCCCCAGGCGCTGGCAGCTCAGGCTAGCTGGGGGAATTGGAGGCCGCTGGTGAGAAAGTCTTGGCCCAGCAGCATCATTTTCTTGGTGATGTGCTGGCAGATTTGCCCCGGAGAAGCCCTTCAAAGCACAGCCTTCTGAAGGCTGCAGTGGAGGCCACTGGGAGGAGGGTCTTACCTGCCCGGGCAATGTCAGGGAGCAGCAAGGCTTGAGGCCCCTGGAGCCCCGGGGTTTGACAATGGCTGGCAGATGTTGGCTGCAGTTGCACAGGACATGCAAAGCAGGCTCTGAGTGACTGGGGGTCTGCTTACCTGGGCTGCATTGAAAACAGGTGGATGTGGGTGGTGCACCCCAGCCCTCTGTGAGAAGGCACTAGGGTCAAGCCCCGATTCCACGGGTGTTGGGGCCCGAGATGGGCCTGCCTTCTCCAGCCGATGTGAGGCCCCACCCTCCACGCCCTGCTCTGCCACTGGGGTGTTGCCCATCCCAGGCCCGGGGACACGGCAGCCTGCCGGAGTGGAGCCGGCGCCCCCACGCACCAGCCATTTCCCAGCTCACCCGTGGCCTTTGGGGCGTCTGGGGTTGGGGGCAGCCGGGGCAGCCTTCACTACACTGAGCTGCACAACCCCCACGGCAGGGTCTGGCGAGACCCACACGGCCGGTCGCGGGCAGCAGTGTGTGCGTGAGCGGCCGTGGGCCCGTGTGAATGAGCCAAGGCCAGCCCCTTGGCTGTTCCTCTGCAGGTGAATTTGAAGGAACAGGGGCAGCTGAAATGCCAAGATGAGTTTATCGTTTGCTGCGGGAGGAAGAAGTATCTGAGGCACGTGTTCCTCTTTGAAGACCTCATCCTGTTCAGCAAGACCCAGAAGGTGGAGGGCGGCCACGACGTCTACCTGTACAAGCAGTCTTTCAAGGTAGCACCCGCCTGGTCCAATCGGGCGCAGGCTGAGCCAGGCCCTCCCAGGGGGTCTCGGACCCTGTCTCACCTGAGGCGAGCAGAGGAACTGGGAGGGAGTGAAGCTGGGAGGAGCCGAACTGCGATGTTTTGATTTCTGTGGTTCTTGGGTAAATTCTTGAAAACGTTAGCCCCGAAATTGGCAAGGAGACGTGTGTCTTCTCCAGTCCCATGTCCAGTCCAAGGGCTGAGAAACAAGTGTCTTCTCAGTCAGAAACTGCATTGTGGATTCTATACAGAGGTGAACACGGGCACGGGCCTTCCCCCGGCTCTGGGAGGTGCACAGAGAGGGTGAACACGGGCACGGGCCTTCCCCTGGCTCTGGGAGGTACACATAGAGGGTGAGCACGGGCACGGGCCTTCCCCTGGCTCTCGGAGGTACACATAGAGGGTGAGCACGGGCACGGGCCTTCCCCCGGCTCTGGGAGGTGCACAGAGAGGGTGAGCACGGGCACGGGCCTTCCCCCGGCTCTGGGAGGTAGAGGGTGAGCACGGGCACGGGCCTTCCCCCGGCTCTGGGAGGTGCACAGAGAGGGTGAACACGGGCATGGCCTTCCCCCAGCTCTGGGAGGTACACAGAGGGTGAGCACGGGACGGGCCTTCCCCTGGCTCTGGGAGGTGCACAGAGAGGGTGAACACAGGCACGGGCCTTCGCCTGGCTCTGCGAAGTGCACAGAGAGGGCGTCGCTGACGCACCATGGGGGGCAGGTTCCCGCTTGTGACTCGGCTGTGCTGAGGGAGGCCAGGTCCCTCCCTTCTTGACAGAGGCCATGAGGGTACATGGGCTCACACACAAGCAGCCTCCCACACTCGTGCATAGCCTTGCACACTCATGGGCAGCTGTCCTGCACACGCACTCTCCCTTGCACGCTCACAGGCAGCCTCACACAGCAGTGAGCAGTGAGGTTTTGCCCACCCTGACGCATCCCACACATTTGTCATTTGGTGTCTGGGTGACGTGACTGCCAGCCCTGAGGAATTGGGGTAGCCAGTCGTTCAGAGATCTGTGTTCCTGATGGTGCTGCCACGGGTGTTTGCTGACTGCAGACGGCCGAGATCGGGATGACAGAGAACGTCGGGGACAGTGGCTCGAGGTTTGAGATTTGGTTTCGCAGGCGGCGGAAATCTCAGGACACCTACATTCTCCAAGCAAGCTCGGCAGAGGTCAAGCGCGCGTGGACCGATGTGATAGGGAGGATCCTGTGGAGGCAGGCGCTGAAGAGCAGAGGTGGGAAGATGGGGGCCACAGGGCCTGCCCGGCTCAGGGGCACAGCTAAGGGCAGGGGTCAGGGCTGGGGCTGGGGTGAGAGCCGGGGGCTGAGTCCAGCGGCCGGGGGCTGTGACTGGGGTGGGGGCTGGAGGCGAGTCCAGGGGTGGGAGGCCAAGGCTAGGAGTGGGGCGGGAGTGGAGGCGTGGGTTGGGAGCTGGGCTATCGACCTTAGTGCTGAGATTCAGGCGATATGGTTAAATATTGAGTTCACTTGAGCACAAAGTCTGGGGATGGCCACCTGGGAGGACACAGACTTCAAAGGGATGGGGTCATTGCCCCGAAGTGGGGAGGTTTAAGGGCCATTTGTATAGGCACAGTCTGGGGAAATGTAACAGGATCACATCATTTTCTATACAGGGCTGGGGCACAGTTACAGCAATTCGATTGACTACAGGCAGCATTTCTTTTTTGGTAGGGGTGAGGGTATATTTTGCATTCCACATTAGGGATGGAATAGTCAAGGGTCTTCTGTCTCAGGACTGTCTGGTCTGAGCCAGGAACAGGGAGGCAAGGAAATCTCTAACAAAAGGTCGGAAATTAAGGGGCTGAGCTCTGTGACTCGATCTCCAAAGTCAGCCTCCCTAAGGGTCTAATCACTCTGAGGATCCTCCAGTAGCCAGACCATCCATTTTCCTCCTCATGGGCACCCAAGAGGCCCACCCTGTCTGGGGCACCTGGGGGCCCTCGGTCAGCACTTTACGAGAAACTTCTTGGGGCCGGGCGCGGTGGCTCAAGCCTGTAATCCCAGCACTTTAGGAGGCCGAGAGGGGCGGATCACGAGGTCAGGAGATCGAGACCATCCTGGCTAACCCAGTGAAACCCCGTCTCTACTAAAAAAAAAATACAAAAAACTAGCCGGGCGAGGTGGCGGGCGCCTGTAGTCCCAGCTACTCGGGAGGCTGAGGCAGGAGAATGGCGTGAACCCGGGAGGCGGAGCTTGCGGTAAGCTGAGATGTGGCCACTGCACTCCAGCCCGGGCAACAGAGCGAGACTCCGTCAAAAAAAAAAAAAAAAAAAAAAACTTCTTGGATCGGACCTGATGGCACTCAAACACGTGTCTCTCATGTCCACAAGCGAACGTAAACAAGACACTGCAGCCACCCCAGAGAGGGTCCCCCGCAGCTCTGGCTCCAGATTTAACCCTCTGGTTGACTTCCTGCCCCTGTCCTGCTGGTCTGGCCCCCATGGCCCTGGGAGGCTGAGCTCATGGTCATGAGAGGGCCCTCCCCAGAGAACTCATCCCCCACCCTGAGACCCCTCCCCCAGGCCTCCTCCCTCCTCCCTCAATGTCCACCCTCGTTTGCTCCCCCGTCCCCCAACTTCGTCACTGGGTGTGCCTCTCTGTGCTTATTCCTCCAGCCTGGCGGCTGCAAACACCACCTTCACAGGGACCACCCCCCACCCCAGACCTTCTCCCACACTGAGCTCCAACTCCAGGGCCTGCCCCAGCACCTCACAGATAGCCAAAGCCACTGTAAACCCAGCTGTCCACCTCTACCCTACAAGCCCACCTGGCAGCTCTGGCCTCTCAGACCTAAGAAACCGAGGCACCCAAGCTACAGACACAACCAGGGATCCTGCACGCCCACACCCCGCCTGAGCCTTGACCCCCTCCAGGTGCAGCCACCGCCTCCCCACCAGCCCCCGAAACTCTTCGGAGCCAGCTCTGTTGGGCACAGGGGGCCCCATGGTCTCCCTGCCAGCTCCCCCTCCGGCCCCAGCCTCCTGGCTACTCCACACCCCATGGGCTCTGTCGGTCACAGGGTGCCCCATGGTCTCCCTGCCAGCTCCCCCTCCTGCCCCAGCCTCCTGGCTACTCCACACCCCATGGGCAGCAGCTACTTGGTCAGAGGCCTCATCTCCAAGATGCCACCATCCTGAAGAGCCTTCCTGGCCTTTTTCCTTCCTTTGTAGCCCACTGGTCCTGCTTCCTGTTTGGGGTCTGCCTGACTGTGGTGCACAAAGCCTCCCTGGGGTCGATCTGTCCATTTCAACCCCTCCTGTGTTCCAAGCACCGGGAGCCTGCAGGAAATAGGCCCTGCCAGCCTTGAATAATCAGATTCAGAAAATAGAACTAAGCTGATTCAAGCACAAAGCATGGGAATGGCCACCCCAGAATGCAGACTCCAAAGGGACAGGGTCCGTGCTCCCGAGTGGGGAAGCTGAGGCTTCACTTACAGAGGCAGAAACGGCTGCAGCCAACTTGACAGCAGCTCGATTAGTCCAGGTTGCTACATTCTGTGAGGAGGAGGCATGTTCTGAGAGATTCTTATCTCTGGTGCCTCCCGGTCATCCCTGACCACTTACCGGAAAAAGCAAAAGTTGCATCTGATGCTCCGTGACTCAGGGCATTGCCGGGCTCCTCTCAGGGTTCAGAATATCTTACAGTTCTCACAGCATCGAGTTCTAGTTATTTAGTTTCACAGCCCTCCTCAAACAGGGTGGGGGGGCAGCTGAGCACAGGGTATGCACACAGGACTCTGCCTGGCCTGGGGATGTGCGGTGTGGCCCACAGAGCTGTCCAGGCTCTGCAGGTACAGCTGGGTTGCCTGGAAAGTGGAACCTAATGCTTCTCAGGTGTGTCGAGGACCTGGCACGCCCTCCCCATCACCTCGTTGGTCACTTGAGCCCTCTCTTGACTTCTCCAGTTTTGCCAGGGATTTACCAAATTAGTCTTCCCAGAAAACAGAATTTTGGTTTAATGGATTATCTACACACTTATTCTCTATTTAATTAATTCCTACTCTTTGTTATTTTCTTGTGTCTACCTTTTTCAGTGTTTCATTTGCTTTTCCTTTCTACCTAATTTCTTGAGGTGGATGCTTAGATCATTGATTTTAGCCTTTGTTTTGTTCTCGTTTTTGTGCGGTATTTAAGACTACAGACTTTCCTCTAAGCTTTAGCTGCATCCCACACTTTGTATGTGTTATATGTTTATTAACAGTCAGTTCAGTATATTTTCTAACTTCCACTTCAATTTCTTCTTGGATTTATCATGGGTTATTTAGAAATGCATTACCTAATTTCCAAGATTTTCTAGTTAACTTTGTGATACCAGTTTTGAGTATAAGACCGCTTTGGTCAAATAATATACACTAGAGTTTGTTATCCGTGGAAGGTATCCAAGTGACCGGTGGCGAACCTGTACAGGTCTGCCGCAACCTCAAATCTTGTCTCCTCGGAAGAAAGAATTTGACTGAGGGACATAAGGCAGAAGAAGAGACTGAGGCAAGTTTCAGAGCAGGAATGGAAGTTCATTTGAAAAGGCTTTAGAGTGGGAAAGGAAGAAAAGCACACTTGGAAGAGACCCACGTGGGCGCTGAGATCGAGGGCCCCGTTTATCCTGATCCTAGGACTTCCCGGGCCGGCCCGTGTCCCGTGATTCTCCCCTTAGGCTGGGCTGCCTGCATGCGCAGTGTGGGCCTTTCCCTTGGGATGTGAGGATACCCTGATACCCTGTGTGGTTAGGAAGTTGTACGTATCCCCGTCTGAGGCTTTCTTCCCTTTTCTGTTGGGGGGACATGAGGACGCCCCGTGTACTTAGGAAGTTGTACGCATCCCTGTCTGAGGCTTTCTTCCCTTGTCTGGTGGGGCGCCCCCAAAAGGTGACGTTCTACCATTTTGTCTCTTAATGCACACAGTTGCTTCTCCTGGCACCTGCCTTCAGTTAACACTTGAGTGCAGCAGGTGCGGACCATCAGGAAATGCCCTCTCCCTGGCACTGGCTGCCAAGGTATCCCTTTTAGAGAGGCAATGTGGTATATGCCAGGCCACCACCCGACATTCCCAGTGGGTGGGGAACCCTCTCCTGCCCCGCTCATGCCTGTCTAGCCACCTGTGACAGCTTCGGTTATTTGAAAAGTTGTATGTCCCAGCATTTTGGTAAATTTTCCACGTGAAGAGAAAGTGTGCTTTGTAGTTGTTATTGCAGAGTTCTCATCACGTTTTGAAAATTGTGGTGTTCAGATTTGTTATATCCTTATTGGCTTTCTGGCTGCCTATCACTAGGAAAAGTGTGTTAAAATCTCCCATGATGATGTAGATTTGAATTTGTCTAGTTTTCTTTTTGTTCTGTCCATTTTTGCTTTCTATGTTTTGGAGCTAAATTATTAAGTGCATAGTAATATAGAATTGCTATATCTTCCTAGAAACAGAGCCTCTTTTATGATAATGAAATGCATCTCTTTATTTTTAGGAATGCCTTTTGCCTTAGATCTACAGCTGTCCCTCTGTGTCCATGGGGATGGGTTCCAGGACTCCCCCACGGATACGCAAATCTGCAGTTGGTCCAGTCGCTGATATAAAATGGCACAGTAGTTGCACATAACCTACACACATGCTCCTATATACTGCAAATCATCTGTACATTACTTATAATCCATAGTACAATGAAAATGCTTATAAATAGCTGTTATATTGGGTTTTTGTTTGTATTTTTAACTTTTGTTGTAATTGCTTTTTGTTCCAAGAGTTTTGATCCTTGGTGGAATCTGTGGATATGGAACCCACAGATACAGAAGGCCGACTGTGCTTCCTGTTAATGTGGCTATTCCAGTTTCCTTTTGCAAAGTTGTGTTTACACAACACATACTTGTCCATCTTACTTGGAACTTTCGGCGTTCTTATATTTGAGATACGTCTCTTGTAAAAGGCATATGTTTGATTTCACTTTTATCTTTTTATCTAGTTTGACTGTCCTTGTCTTTACATTGGAGTAGTGTGTTTACATTTAATGCAATGTGGGCATAAATCTAGAGTATCTTACTCTTTGTTTTCTACCTGTTTGGTGAGAACAGGGAAGTGAGAGAGGAGGGGAAGGCCATGGAGGATGACTGATGGGCAGGTCCTTGCACACACCATCTGGAAGACAGGCACACCCAGGCACTGTCCCACATGCTGAGGGACCCCCACATGCTGAGGGGCCTGGGTGTTTCTCTGCCAACTCCTGTCCCTCATCGCTGAGGTTCCTCCTGGGGTGTGAACCACCTGACCCTTCTGTCCCGTCCACAGGAAGTGGGGGAACACCCCCCAAGCAGAGAGACCTGGGCAGCTACCGCCATGAATGAGAGCAGTCTGGCTGCCCCCAGGCCAGCTGTGCTCTGATGGCCAAGGATGGCCGTCCTTGCCTGTGTCCCAGCGTGGGGTTAGTTCTGGAACATTTGATCACTTCTGCTCTGCTCTCTGTGCTCCACCTGGAACTCCGACTACACGTGTGACCTTTTTACACGTTGCTATGTTTCTCGTGTGATTTCTGTGTTTCGATCACGTCTTCCCTGCGTTTATTTGATGGATTTCAGTTTCCTTTTGACACTCTCTGTCCTGTGATCTACTTCCTGCCACATTAATCCTGGTTACCTCCACGGCCTGAGACATCCAAACCTTTATCTCGCGGATGTTTAATTATCTGGGGTTTTCCTCACCCTTTCCTCATTTTGTCCTTTCTCCTGGTGTGCCTGATAATTTTTTTATTAAGTAGTAGATATGATGTAGGAAATGTGCAAGGGTCGTCTGAGGCCCAGGCTGGTGTCTTCACCTCCAGAGGATTTATTTTTGTGGGAAGAGCAGGGGTGGGTCATCTGAACGCACTCAGGGGAGGGGCTACATGAAGTCCGCCTCAGACCTTTGGGCAGCTGATCCAGCTTCTGTTTGTCCCACTCCTGGCAAAGTCCATGCTCCCTTTCCAGGTCCTCAGTGAATGTCTGGGAGTTTCCCAGGCCCTTCCTCCCTGGCAATCCTCAAATTCCAGGTTTTATCTCCCTACCCTGTGCGTTGTCCGAAGCTCTCAGCCTCCAAGCTCCAAGCTCATCGGCCACCAGCAGTGCCCTGAGGGGTTAGAAAGGTGTCAGGTGTCCAGTGGTCTGTGAGCTCCGCATCTGCCCAGGATGTTAGCCCTTTGAGGCTGGATTGCCTTGTCACCTCCAAAACACCTTCAAAACATGTGTCCAGCTTTTCTGGTTGTTCTCGGCTGCAGACTTGGATGTAAGGTATACAGGCAATCCCACTGCGGCCAGAGGAGGAAGCTGTCCCGCCTCCACACTCACAGCTCTAACCCTAAAACAGTGCTTCAGAGTCGGGGAAGAGCAACGTCCTGTTCGCTGCCCAACTCCAAGCCCTGCGTCCCGGGCAGCCACACTCGGCCCCTTCCCTGCAAGAGGGGACACTCACTCTCGATTAACCAGCTTTGCACGTTACCTGTTGGTGAAGGTGATCAGTAACTCTGTACCTGCAGCACACACACACTACACGTCTTCCCATTCTCCCAAGACCTCTGGAAATAATTCTTACTATAATATTCTTCAGCATATGCATTAGGACTACATAAATGTAATTATGTTTTCTATCCTCATATATTTACTTACAATTAATATCATCTTTTTTCTTTGCTTAATTTGACCAAGAATAAATTCATTCCCAAACTCTCACCTTATGCTTAGCTCACCTCTCAATATTCAAACTCCTAGAAACCTGTCACTTTTGTCTTTCCCATGGACACAGCTCCCAGGCCTTTGACCCCTGCTTTCTAATTGGGACCTGCTGTGGGGCCCTCTCCCGCTTACCAGCAGACAGGGACCCTTCCTCACCCCCAGGTTGGACACGCCGTTTCCAAGGCCTCATGGCTTCCTTATTCTTGGTTACTGCCTTGGGCTCCCTGGGAGAGATCTCTATGAGGCTGAAAACTGGAACGGGAAGCCTCAGCATCCTGGACCCCCATGCCTCTTGGGAGGCAGGGTGGGTAGGCCCTGTACACCCTCCTGGTTTGGGCTGAGGGCATTAGGGGTACTGGGCATCTTTGGGGTGGCGTTAGCCCCCGAGTTGCTTTGGAAACTGTCATACTTTCTTCTGTCTTAGAACTCAGAATCCAAGAAATGGCATCCATGGGGATAGGCAACCAGCCATTCATGGACGTCAAGCCCAGCGACCAGGCCCCCAAATGTACAGTGATAAGCGACCGGGCCCGCAACAGCATCATCAAGGGCACAGGTACGGTGGCCTCAGCCCCACCCTCACTCGCCCTGCAGAGCGCACTGGGCCTGTGGCTGACACGGTGGGTTGGACGGGCATGACTGTAGGGGCACAGCCTGGTCGGCCTTTTGGACGGCTCTGATCCCGTTTCTGAACCTGGGCTGCACTTCTGGAGAGGAAGCCAGCCTGACCTGCTTTCTGTCCCTTTCCAGAGTCACAAATGAGAGGGCCCACCGCGGTGTCCTCCTCTGACCAGGCCACCCCCTTCAAGCGACCACACTCCACCATCTCGGACAGCAGCACCTCCTCTTCCAGCAGCCGGTCCTCCTCCATCCTGGGGTCGCTGGGCCTGCTTGTGTCCTCCAGCCCAGCCCACAGCCCCTGGTCATCTGACATCAGAGCCTGCATCGAGGAAGACGAGCCGGAGACGGGCACCCAGGCTGCAGTGCGTGAGGGCGCTCCTGCTGTGTTGTAAGCCACGCACGCCAGGCCTGACGACCATGGGGGTGGCGATGCCCATCGCATAGCTAGAACAATACGTAGGGAGCAGCATGCCAGGCCTGACCACTGTGGGGGTGGCGGTGCCCATCGCATAGCTAGAACGATACGTAGGGAGCAGCATGCCAGGCCTGACGACTGTGGGAGGGGCGATGCCCATCGCATAGCTAGAACGATACGTAGGGAGCAGCATGCCAGGCCTGACGACCGTGGGGGTGGCGATGCCCATCGCGTAGCTAGAACGATACGTAAGGAGCAGCATGCCAGGCCTGACCACTGTGGGGGTGGCGGTGCCCATCGCGTAGCTAGAACGATACGTAGGGAGCAGCATGCCAGGCCTGACGACTGTGGGAGGGGCGATGCCCATCGCGTAGCTAGAACGATACGTAGGGAGCAGCATGCCAGGCCTGACCACTGTGGGGGTGGCGGTGCCCATCGTGTGGCTGGAACAATCCAGAGGGAGCAACACAGCAGGTGTCCAGGTATTTCCCAGGATTTTAGACACTCCCTAACATTTTCAAACAAATTTAAAATGTTGTCTTATTTGAAAAAAAAACCTTCCACTTCCACCCAAGACAACATCATAGGAAACAGACCTAAAACAAGACAAAAAACAGACTAAACATGAAACAAAAGATGTCAAGACACAAGACATTTGGCAGCAAAGGACCATGATCCCTGAGAGACAGGAAAACGGGAGGTGAGCCTGGTGGTGGCCTCAGACCTCCCTCCGCCTTGAGAGTTCGCAGGCCTCCGTGCAGGGAGGGGCCCAGGAAGAGCCCAGCAGCCTCCGTGAGTTGAAGAGACCAAGTCAGCAGGACTTTGCAGGTCGGAGTGCCAGAGAGAGATGCCTGCGTGGGGAAGGACTCATCAGATCAGCCCCTCCAGCAGCCGGTGGGGTGCTGCCATTCTCACACTCCGACAGGGAGGCTACCAAGGCTGGGAGAGACCTTTGAAAAGACCAAAGATCCCTTTCTGGTACTCGTGGGCTGGGGACAGGACCCCCTCCCACCAGCCAGACTGGGAAAACTCGCGATCTGTGAGCATTAGGTGGAGTTCTCAGAAAATCTTGCCTCAGGACTGGGGATAATTAGCCCTAGACTGAGCCCTGCTCCTCACCCACCTACAAAATCATAAAAGCAAGACCTGAAATGATCGGACTGTTCCCAGATAATTCACTCCATCCCAGAACAAAGCTCCAGACGATCTATAGGTTACCAAAGTGTCCGCACCCTGCAAGGTAAACGCTCAGTGCCTGACCTCCGAGTGCCAGGCGTGCAGAGGAGCAGCCAAGCGCAAGAGTCGCCCGGCAAAGGCAACCACCCGGAGCCGCCATCGGTGCTAGAGTCGCAGAACTCAAACTGTGGCTGAAACCGCAGCCCAGACGTCCAGAAAGTTAAGAAATAACGAGGAAGAGATTAAGAAGACCCAGACCGACCTTACAGGGATGAGAAACTACAATATTGACGGTAAAAACTACCCTGAATGGGGTAACAGATTGGATTTCACAGAAGAGACCATGAGGCACCTTGAAGACGCATCAGTAGAAGCTATTTGCATTAGTCGGGCCTCCAGAGAGATGGAACCAGTAGGAGATAGACGATGATAGATAGATAGATAGACAGACAGACTGACAGATGAGAGAGGCCTTAGGGGCATTGGCTGACACAATTTTGGCAGGTCAAGAGCCCCACAATAGGCCACCCACAAGCTGGAGACCCAAGGAAGCTGCTAGTGTAGCCCAGTCCAAGTCCTGAAGCCTCAGAGCCAGGGAAGCCAATGATGTAATTCTCAGTCAGAGGCCAAAGGCCTGAGAACCTGGGGGCCACTGGTGTAAATCTGGAGTCCCATAGACCCAGTGAACTCCAAACACAAGAGATATGAGTGCACATCATAATCCAATTGCATAAAACCAGTGACAAACAGAAAATCCTAAAAGCAGTCAGAGGACAAGGGCATGTTCTGTTGGGAGGCACAAAGCTGATGAGGATGGCTGACTCCTCAGAAGCAACACGGGTGAGAGACAGTGGAATGTACTAAGGAGAAAACTGCCAAATTCACATTCTGTACCTGACAAAATATTTCCAAAACAATGGTGACATAAAGACATTTTCATACACACAGAAGCTAACATAATTTTGTCACCAGCAGACCTGCACTACAAGAAACGTTAAAGGATGTGCTTCAGGGAAAAGAAAAATGAAGAGCATGTGCACCATTCAAAATTTTCCTCTTGTTATTTAAATCCCTTTAATCCATCTCCCATTTGCCCCAAGAAATGAGCGCTGGCAGTGAGCTGCAGTTTTTGTTTGTTTGTTTCTAAACAGGAAATGGGTTAAAAGATGAGTGGCTTGGCCAGGTGCGGTGGCTCATGTCTCTAATCCCAGCACTTTGGGAGACTGAGGCCGGAGGATCACTTGAGCCCAGGAATTAGGGATCATCCTGGGAAACATGGCAAGACTGCACCTCTATTAAAAATAAATAAAGTTAACTGACTGTTTAAACACAAATATTAACGTATCTGCAGTTTGTACTATACGTATAGGTGAACTGTGTGACCACAGTGGCCTGAAGGCTGGGAGACATTGGATGTGATATGTGAAGTGAGGTGGTATCACTTGAAGGTAGATTGTGGTAAGCTAAAGATGTACTTACAAACCCTTGAAACAACCACTAACGAAGAATTACAGCTTAATAGACTAACAGAGGAGATAAAATGGAATTTTTAAAAGTCCAGTCCAAAAATATGTAGAGAAAGAAGGAAAAGGAAGAATGGACTTGGGGGTGACACAGAAAACAAGTGGCGAGACTAAAGCAGCAGTGGCCGTCGCAGCAAATGGGGGCACAGGATGTGAGTCACAGACAGGCCTGCTCTCTGGATTGGTGACCGCATGAGTCACTTCACAGGTCTGGTCTGTGTCCAGAGTTGTCAAACTGCATGATTTAAAGATGTGCAGTGGATCGTATGTCACTTAAATCCCAACAAAGCAGTACTTTTTAAAAGTACAATCAAGCACACAGCACTTCCCCGGGGAGGCAGGGGCTGTGCCCACAGAAGTCGGTTACCTCTGCGTCCTGAGTGTGGACAGCCACCATCACACAGCCCCAGAGGCTGCCCAGGCTCTAGCCTCACTCTGGCACTGCCAGGGACAGGTGCCCTCAGGAACCCAAATGCCATTGCCCCCGTGAAAGCCACTTTGAGAGTGTTGCCTCAAATCAGAAGGCATCTATGCCTGGTCAGAGGCTGTGGACGAGGAGGCTGCTGGGGGCCCAGGTGTGCAGGGGGCAGGGCCCAGGTGTGCAGGGGGCAGGGCCCAGGTGCAGGGGCACAGTTTATGCCTGTGGCCATCCCACTGGGGAGCAAGGCTGGGGATACACCCAGTCCAGCAGGGCCAGCAGGAGTGACTGCACCATCCTGAACATGTCCTTGGGCCTCCCAGGACCTTGGTGCCTCCCATCTGGGCTGGCACAAGCCTCCAGTCAAAAGATGGGTCTCTCTCCTTCCTGACAGCACGGAAATGGATGTGGGAATGGAGCCACACCAGCCCCACAGGAGCCCCACGGGAGCCTCACGGCCCATCGGGCTGTGGGATGCATCCCCACGGCCGGGTCCCCGCAGCCTGCGGCTTGGTCTGGGCAGATGCAAAGGCCACCCTGCAGGCCGAAGGGCCCGGGGGGAAAGAAGTGCCAGCCCTGGGAGGCCATCTTGCTCCTGCTTTTTATTTCACCCACGGGGCTCTTTGGCCTCATTTTCTGTTTTTTGAGTTTCACGTGCACAGCCAAACCATCCTGGAGCCAGCCCCAGTGGGAAACGGAGGCTTCCTGCTGCCAGAAGAGGCCCGCCGAGTTACGTCCACACCAGCTGGACCTGGGCACCTCTCTCTCTGGCCTTCTGTCCACACTGGGGTTTGGCTCCGATTTCCAGAAGGCAGGGTTAGGAAACACCTGTTTCCAGGCAGCGTGATGCTTCTGTCTGAATCAGGCCTCATGGGCTTCACCAACAGACACGAAGGTTTCATTTAGATGGAGAACACGCGTTCTCGTTTCTCCGGAGTCCCGGGCCCATGAGCTGAAGCAGGTGCTGAGAAGGAGAGGTGGCCACTGTGTCCCTCAGGGTCACTCGCCCGGCCACATGAGGCCATTTCCGCTCAGCACTGCAGGTGCTGGGAGCTGAGGGCCCCACAGGGGAAGTGGGAGACAGCCCCAGTGCATCCCCATCCACAGTGACACCAGCCTGGAGTCATCGCCGAGCACATGGAGGGACAGCCCTGGAGCCCTGGCCTGACCCAGCTTCTCCCTGAGTCGCTTCCTGATGCCTCCCCAGCCCTGCCCAGGAGGGGTTTGTGGCCACAGCCCCACAGCGGCCCCCTCGCGTCGACTGCCATTGCCTCCTTCCAAGCTGCCTGAGCAGTCCTGGGCGGTGAGCTCCAGGGCTCCCACCCACGCCTCAGCACCAGGAACCCCTAGGGAGGGTGTGGATCCTCCCCGCTCCCGGCCACACCTCAGCACTGGGACCCCCAGGGAGGGTGTGGATCCTCCCTGCCCCCAGCCCACACCTCAGCATGGGGGCCCCACCCCCAGCCCACGCCTCAGCACTGGACCCCCAGGGAAGGTATGAGGATCCCCGCCCCCAGCCCACACCTCACTACTGGGACCCCCAGGGAGGGTGTGGATCCTCCCCACCCCCAGCCCACACCTCAGCACGGGGACCCCACCCCCAGCCCACGCCTCAGCACTGGACCCCCAGGGAGGGTGTGAGGATCCCTGCCCCCGGCCCACACCTCAGCACTGGGAGCTGGGAAGGTGTGTGATTTCCTCCCCCACTTCAGTACTGGGAACCCCCTAGAAGGGCGTGGGGTCCCACTATCCTGAGTGCCCAGGGCTGGTGGTCAGCGAGGTGGTTTCTAAACCAAGTCCTGGGAGGAGCCATCCTGGGACTCTGCTGTGGACAAGGCTGGGGCTCCCGCAGTGAGCTCTAGCCCTCCCCGGGACCCTCCCACGGCCCCAGGGTGCCAGCCTTCGGATTGGCCCCATTCGTGGGCGGGTCTACAGGGCTCCCCAGTGCCCAGCAAGAGTGGTTTTACATTCAGAGGCAAGGAAGGGGCACCAGCATCTGCCGCAGACACAACCAGGCAGGTACAGATGTCATCACCTTGAGGACAGCAGGGAGGCAACTCAGGAGAGGCTGGTAAGACAGGACCGCGTCCCTGTCACCTTCCAGAGAAGGTCTCTTCTGTCAGGTGTCGTGAAGGCTGTGGGTTCAGCTGGGTCTGCGTCCATCCCCGGTTCTGGGGAGACACCCAGGCCCCTCCTGGGCGGCAGCAGCAGTGGAGGTTTGGGTTTTGAGGGAGCCCTGAGAAGCTGGGGGAGCAGGCCTTAGAGCACGGCACGCCCTGGAGAGTCCACGTCCCCAGACCCCTCGCGCCAACACCGTTCCCCTCGCGCCAACACCGTTCCCCTCGCGCCAACACCGTTCCCCTCGCGCCAACACCGTTCCCCTCGCGCCAACACGCCAACACCGTTCCCCTCGCGCCAACACCGTTCCCCTCGCGCCAACACCGTTCCCCTCGCGCCAACACCGTTCCCCTCGCGCCAACACCGTTCCAGCCAACGGTTTCTTCCCTGTGGTCAGAACAAACCCCCCAAGCCTCCGGCCTCAGGCTGGTTTTCCCAACAGGCAAAATGCTCCTTGCATAAGGAAAGACCTTTCCTGGCTGACCCTAAAGTAGCCGAGGGGACCTCACATCGCCTGGCCTGCCACCACCACCAGGCTGCCTGACCAGCTCACCGCCTTGTTCCAGATGCGTCTGAAGCGACGCTTGCCTGGCCCCACCCCATCAAACGTCTGCTGGGCAGCCTCACTCCCCATCCCGCCTATAGCTCCCAACGGTCTCAAGCCCTGGCGCCCCGGTAACCAAGTGCACCCAGAGGGCTGGCAGGGTCACACGGCGGCAGGGGGCCCATGGTCCCAGGGTGGTCGTCTTCCCAGGAGGCCCGCCTGGCAGGTCAGAGGGCAGCAGGAGGCCACCCCATCTCCCCGGGTTCCCTCGAGCATTCCTCTGTCAGGAGCGGCTCCCCCGGCACCCGCCCTGCTCTCAGGAGCCCCCTGCCGGGTGCTCTGACCACAGGAAACAGGGGCCCTCAGGGCCACTGCCAGAGGACGGATTCTGCTGCCAACCAGAGGTCCTGGGGCTGGCGGCGCTGGTGTGCCTGCCCTGGGCCTTCAGCAGCCCCCATAAGGAGAAAGCTCTGGCCTCCCGTTCAGACAAGGCTCCGTCCTGGGGACACCCCTCTCCCAAGGTCACCCACACGGGGGCTTTGTTACTCATGCCTCCCAGACTGCTTGCTGTGTCAGAGTTTTCACACCTGCCCGATGTCCTGGCGGGGCTCACAGAGGACCGACCCTGCAGGGAGATGGTGACCCACCCTGAGACCCAGGAGAAGAAAACAGCCAGGGCCCAGGCTGCTCCCACCATCCCTGGGGGATCGGCACCTTGGCTGAGCCTGAACTGACCACCTGGGGCATAGGTCCCAGATTTAATTACAAAACGATGGGTGAATGTGGGTTCTGTGTGCCTGTGACATAGAGAGACTGTTTTCCACACCGCCTGTGAAATGACGCAAGAGCTTTTGTGTCACACGTGTAGCTGCTGCGAGACTGACGCTCTTGTTCCAGATCAGAGCAGCAGACAGAACTGGCACGTTTTAGGGTCCAAACCCTCTTGCCCACGGAAGGCGCCTGACACCAGCTGGGTGGTGCAGCCCCCGAGGCCCCGCCCGGTCCGGCTGGGACCTGGAGCTCCCCTCAAGCTGCAGCTCCGCCCTGCACCACAAGGTGGCCTCGCAGAGGAGCCGCCCGAGCTTTGGAGCGGAGGCAGGTGCAGCGAAGCTCTCGGTCCTGCCGGGCCCCACCGTGTGTGTGAGGTCTCAGAGGCCTTGCTGGGTTCCAGGCCACGTCTGTGCTGTCACCGCTTTGAGGGGGCAGAGGGTCCTGGGGAGAGGCCTGTGCGACGTGAGTAACAGCTGTTTTTCTTTTGACAGCTGGGGTGGAGGTGGGTCCTCCAGGGAAAGCCTGGTCCTCGAGAGCCAAACTTGTGCACGGGCCTGGAAATGAAGCTCTCAGGCAGGGACTGTTCACACCGACAGTCAGCACTGCTGCCCGGGGCCTGCAGTCACCCGTAATGGGCCCTGCCCCCTAGGCCTGGCCTCTGCTTCCCTCCTGGATGGTTCCTCTACCCCTGGTCCAGCAGGGACCCAGCACTGCCTGCCAGCTGTAGACCCCCATGCTCCTGCAGCCTGGAACTCTCCTGTCCTCCAGAGGTCACGGGTGACCCAGGGTGGGAACACCAGACCCCCCTGCTCCGTGTCCACCACCCATGGCTGGGCTCAGAGTGTCTCAGAGCCCGGGTGAGCCATCCTAGGACCAGCGTACCCATGACCTTTCAGACCAGCGAAGGCCAGTGGGCGCGACGGTCCAGGCATGTCCCCAAAGCAGGTCTGGCCATCTCTGCACAGAACTGGAATCTCGGTTCATTTCGATTATAGCAGGTCCCGTGTAGTTAGCAGGACAGCACTTGACTTAGGTCTGAGTCGTGGCATTTCCTGTAAGGAGCCCAGAGCCGTGGCCCCAGGTTGGGACGGCGGCGCCAGAGCTGGGCCTGAGACTGATCCAACCTGTGCTGCTGGAATGGGAACCCCAAGAGGACCACCCCTCTCCAACAGAAGGGAAAACAGTAAGAGAGAGGGAGGCTGCAGGGCCCCAGACCTTGGCCAACCTTCCCAGCCATGGTCTCCGCCCTCCAAAACCCAGAGGCCCCGCAGCAACACCAGGGTGTTGGGCCACACAGAGCCCGAGTAGGTAAAGGAAGGTTCTGGAAACCACTTTTCAGAACCCAAAAGGTGTCTGGGAAATGGTGTTACCTGCTGCTGTTGTAAACTGTTTACTTTGTATCAATAATGAATTGTTAACAATTTTAATTAGAAAAATCAATGGAACATGTTTTTCTACTTGTCTTGGAAAGGGGCCGTGTGTCTGGGGAAACCTCTTGCACACCTCCTGAGGGGAGCCCCAGGGCCCACATCGGCCGGCTGACAGTGGCCACCCCGAAGGGTGGGGTTGGGGCCTACCCACCTCTTCACACACTCGTCCACCTGCCGGACAGTGCCTGGGCCCCACCACGGAGCACAGTCTCTTCCGCATGGGTCACCTCCCAGGGAGAGGCACTGCTCAGGCTCAGGGAACAAATCGGGGAGGGTCAGACAGGGAGGCTGGTGGGGGACCCATGACCAGCACCCTCCAGGCTTGCTCAGCAGCCTTCCCCTCCCACTGCCATTTCTGTCTCTTTCTGTCTCCCCCTTTCTGTCTCTCTCTCTCAGTCTCTGTCTCTGCCTACCAGTCTCTCTCTCTCTTAGACTCTTGTCCCTCTCTGTCTCTCAGGCTGTCTCTTTCTGTTTCCCTTTTCTTTCCATCTCCCTCTCTGTCCCTCTCCCTCTCAGTTTCTGTCCCTTTGTCTCTGTCTCCACTCGCTTCTGTCAGTCTTCCTCAGCCTCTGTCTCTCATGGCTGTGACCCTCCAAAGCCCGCAGACATGTGGTGCCCTGCAGCGATGTGTGCAGTGATGTGTGCAGTGAGGTGTGCAGTGAGGTGTGCAGCGATGTGTGCAGCGATGTGTGCAGCGATGTGTGCAGTGATGTGTGCAGTGAGGTGTGCAGTGAGGTGTGCAGCGCTGATGTGTGCAGTGATGTGTGCAGTGAGGTGTGCAGTGAGGTGTGCAGCGCTGATGTGTGCAGTGATGTGTGCTGACCCTGCCCCAAGTGGCAGTGTCACAGGGAGAGGTGAGTGCAGGCACCCAACATCCATCCAACACAGTCAGTGCTGGGAGTGAACCATCAGGCACTGCCCCAACAGGCAGCGCTCACAGGTGTATCCCATTCCCTGCAGAATTCCCTGCCACGAAGGTCGCAGGGTTGCAGACAGGACACTGCAGCTCAGAGACAGCTGGGGGGCTCATCTAAGCCCATCAGGGAGGCTCCACCTCTCCCAGCCACTCACTCCATGGAAAGTGGGGAATCACCCCCACCAGGTCCTTGGGGAGAATGAAAGGCACAGGGAAGGGGCGAAACAGCAGCTCCATTCCTGGCCACTTGTCTCACCCCAGATGCGAGGCAAAGTGTGGGAGCGGCCCAGAGGCCACTGTGGAAAGGGAGCTCCTTACCGAGTGAGGAGGCGCAGGGGCCTGGCCTGTTCTCTGCCTGGTTGACTGTGGGGGGCCCAGGGCTGGGCAGCAGCCCCGCTTGGATGGTAAACAGGACCTGCCCACTGGCCTCACCGGCCACCAGCGCAAACACCTACCAAGGCTGGCTTTCTGCAGCATGGAGCACAGGCCTCTCTGCCCAGCCCTGCCATGGGCACGGGCTGCCCTTGTGTCGGCTGGGTGCCTGAGCCAAGCAACTCCCAACGGTTGGGTGCCCCGAGGCAGGGCAGACACAGGCGTCCCAGGACCAAAATAGCAGTCAGATGATCACAAGGCCCCATGGCAGGGCCCCCAGGGCAGGCTGCTCACAGCTGCTGCAGCTAAAGATAGGCGAGAAGGGCACGCGTCTTGGGGAAAAGTCGTGGGGAGCGAGCACCGTCCTGTCTGGGGCCATGGGCACAATGAGGTCACTGCGCTTCATTTCTGCAGAAGCCCTGGTGTCCCACCCCCAGGTGGCCCGGCAGAGCCTGGACAGTGTGGCCCACAACCTCTACCCGCTCCTGTTCAAAGCCAGCTACCTGCTGGAGCAGGCGGAGGTGACGCGCACTGTGCTGGGGCGCTGGCCCCTGGAGGAGTTCCGGCTGGGAGCGCTGCTGGGTCCCAGTGCCGACCACCCCCAGGACCTGCGCGACCGAGCCTGCCGGGCCTGCCTGGAGGCGCTGGTGCGCGGCCTCGCCGACCACGTGCTGCAGGACCGGAGCCGCCGGCGGCTGCGGGTGGCCGATCTCACGGGCATCCGAGACGTGCAGGTGCAGCGGTGCCCGTGCGGGAGGGCGCTGGGCAAGTGGGGCCGCACCCGGCTGCTGGCCAGGACCTGCTGTGAGCTGCAGGCAGAGCCCCTCGCAGCCGGGCGCCCCGTCGAGGTCCTCGCCGACCTCTTCGTCACTGAGGGCAACTTCGAGGCGGTGGTGCAGGCTCTGAGGCCAGCGGGCCCGGCCCCTCTGCGGATGCACTGCCCCTCGTTCCGGGCGGACAGCCTGAGCCCCAGCCAGCTCCTGCACGTGCTGCGTCTGGCTGGCCCGGGTGCCCTGCGCAAGCTGGAGGTGGTGCACAATGTGCGGCTGCATGCGGGCCACGTGCACCAGCTGCTGGCCCAGGTGGGCTTCCCCCGGCTGGCCTCGCTCACCCTGCCCACCAAGGCCTTTGATGCACCCCCCGCCTGCGCCTCCACTCCCGGCGGTGAGGACCGCCTCCTCGCCTCCATCGCCCGGGAGCTCAGCAAGATGACGCAGCTCACCGACCTCAGCGTGGCCTTCTCCAGACTGACCGGGAAGATCCCGACGCTGCTTGGGTGAGTCTCAGGGACAGGACTGAGGGCCGGCTGGTGGCTGCAGAGGCAACCAGAGATAGTCCAGGGACTGCTCACCTCCAAGGCCATGAGGCTGCGTGGCCCCCAGCCTCTCACTCCGGGTGTGGCCAGAGCAACAGGACAGTGCCCCGCCAAGGGGCAAGGGCACTGAAAGAGCCACCAGGAAAGAACCGGGGTGCCATGTGTGACTTAGGGATATGGAGAGAATGCCAGTTAAAAAAAGAGAATATACAAATTACCAAATAGACAAAACGGAAGTCCCTACATGGTGTGGGGAGTTGTCTATTGTGGATTCACAAATCATCCCAGCACCTGGGGGCTTCAAACATGGTTTCAGCTCAGAAATCTGAGCCCCTCGGTGCCTGCGGCTCAGGGCTGCTGTCGGCCAAGGGCGCCATCTCATCCGAAGGCGGGATCCTCCCAGTCTCCCTCGAGGGAGGCCTGGGCTCCATGCCGCATGGACCTCCCCATGGTGGGACAGGAGGCTCATGCAGGATCCTCTCAGCAGTTCTGCGTGAAGCGGGCAGAGAGGGCAGCAGCCAGGAAGGGGCCAGGCCAAGGCAGCCTCAGGCAGTGGTGAGGGGGATGCCTGGCAGTGGGTTCAACGGGGGTGCCCAGCAGTGCGTCCTGGATGGGGAGTGCCTGGTGGTGGGTCCTGGGGGGTTGCCTGGTGGTGGGTCATGGGGGTGGTGCCCAGTGGTGGGTCCTTGGGGGGGAGTGCCCAGCAGTTGATCCTGGGGGGTTGCCTGGTGGTGGGTCCTGAGGGGGGAGTGCCCAGCAGTTGATCCTGGGGAGTTGCCTGGTGGTGGGTCATGGAGGGAGGGTGCCCAGTGGTGGGTCCTGGGGAAAGGGGTGCCTGGCAGTGGGTCCTGGGAGGGAGACTGGTGGTGGGTCCTGAAGGACGGGCACTTGGCGGTAGGTATTGGGGGGGTCACCGGGTGATGGCTCCTGGTGGGGCAACCTAGCGGTGGGCCTGGGGGGCACCCAGTTTTGGGTCCTTGGGGTGGGACCTGGCAGTGGATCCAGGGGGAAGGGGCACCTGGTAGGTACTGGGGAAGCACCTAGCAGTGGGTCCTCAGGTGCTGGAGGGCGTCTGGCGGTGGGTTCTGGGGGCTGGGGGCACCTGCAGTGGGTCCTGGTGGGGCACTTGGCAGTGGGTTTTGGGGGGAAGTGGCTGGCGGTGGTGGGGGTGCCTGGTGGTGGGTCCTGAAGTGGGTGCACCTGGTGGTGAGTCCTGGGATGGAGGGTGGCTGGCTGTGGGTCCTGGGGCGGCACCAGGCAGTAGATCCTGGTGTGGGATACCTGGTGGTGGGTCCAGAGGGACTGGGGGGGCCCTGCAGTGGGTCCTGAGGGACGGGGAGGGGGGGAGCTGCAGTGGGTCCAGAGGGACAGGGGGGCAGGAGAAGGGTCCTGAGGGACGGGGGGGGGCCTGCAGTGGGTCCAGAGGGACAGGGGGCCCTGCAGTGGGTCCTGAGGGATGGGGGTGCCCCGTGGTGGGTCCTAAGGGATGGAGGGGACCTGCGGTGGGTCCTGAGGGATGGGGGTGCTATTATGCCCAGACTGTTTGTTCCCCAAAGAAGACCACCAGAGTCCAGAGTCAAAGCCAAGCGGCAAGGATCTTTACTACAAGTTCGAACTTGGTCCCTCCTTTACACAGTATACAAGAGGGCCTTGAACAATGCGAGCGTTTGCTTTTTATAGCCCGAAAGTTGCAGGGGAACAAAGAAATTCTTTTGGCTCCTGCGCTTTCAGTAACCTTGAACGGCTGTTGCCTTATCGGAGACTTTCCAGGTGGTGTTTATACTGGGCTCAGGGAGTTTGAGAGATATATGGTGGTGGGATGGGAGGATGGGATGTGTCTGTGCTAGGCTCAGGGAGTTTTGAGCCCGGGGCTGAGGAATGTGCCCAGCTCCTTTCAGTGCCCCGTGGTGGGACCTCGGGCAGGGGGCGTGCCTGGTGGTGGCTTCTCAGGTGGGGCAGGGACACCCCGCAGTGGGTCCCAGGCCTGGGAGGGGAGGGTGCGGGACATTCAGGTGGGTGCAGGTGCAGGTGGTTGGAGGGTGAGGCAGTCTGCGAAGGAGAGGGTGGGGATGGGGCGGACCCCAGCGGTGTCCCCCTGCTCAGCGAGGACAGTGAGGCCGTGTGCCAGTGCAGTACTGCTCTGGAGATCTCCCTTGGAGAGCTCAGGACCAGAGCAGGTCTCACTCCAGCTGCCTGTGTTGGAGCTGGGCTGCCCTACCAACCAAGTCAGAATATGGGATGTGGGGCAAGGCGGGGTTTTTAGGGTTAGCAGGTGAGTCAGAGGCCGGACTGGAAGCCTCCACGGCCCTTCCCAGCTCTGAAACCGTGTGGGCTCCATCTTTGTGGGAGTGGAGCGGTGCTGTTCTGTGGCCTCACCGCCCCCGCTGTCTGCTTTCTGAGCGGACATTCTCATGGCCACAGGCACCACTTTTCTCAGACAACACAAAAGCAGTTGTTGACAAAACAAACTTACCATTTAGGTGCTGAGGACAAAAGCCAGACCTCTGGGTACAGCTGACTTCACCACGCGGCAGCCGGCAGTCATGGCCCACACTAAGCGAAGGCACGTGGTTGTGCTCCGGTAAAATGTTATTTGTGGACACCGAGTTTGAATTTCATGTAACTTTCACGTTTCACAAACTATTATATAAACATAACAACCACTCCTAGCTCATAGACTGTATGAAATTAGGTGGTGGCTGGACATGGCAGTGTGTTGACCCCGTGATGGACAAACGGGTTGTTCCCATTCGCCTGAGCTGAGGGCTCAGGCGAATGGGACCCTCCTCTCACCTGCGCTCTTTCCCCTGTGTTCTGCAGGCCCCTGCAGACCCCCCTGCGAGTGCTGGACCTGGCCAACTGTGCCCTGAACCACGCAGACATGGCCTTCTTGGCAGACTCTGCCCACGCTGCCCACCTGGAGGTGCTGGACCTGAGTGGACACAACCTGGTCAGCCTGTTCCCCTCGACCTTCTTCAGGCTGCTCGGCCAGGCTGCCCGGACGCTGAGGATCCTGACGCTGGAGGAGTGTGGCATCGTAGACAGCCACGTTGGCATGCTGATCCTGGGCCTGAGCCCCTGCCACCAGCTGCGCCAGCTCAAGTTCCTCGGGAACCCGCTGTCGGCCCGCGCCCTCCGGCGCCTCTTTGCCGCGCTCTCTGAGCTCCCCGAGCTGCGCTGCATCGAGTTTCCAGTGCCCAAGGACTGCTACCCCGAGGGTGCCGCCTACCCCCAGGACGAGCTGGCCATGTCCAAGTTTGACCAGCAGAAATACGACGAGATCTCCGAGGAGCTGCGTGCCGTGCTGCTGCGGGCGGACCGAGAGGACATCCAGGTCTCCACACCCCTCTTTGGAAGTTTCGACCCAGACATTCAAGAAACAAGCAATGAGCTTGGCGCTTTCTTGCTGCAAGCTTTCAAAAACGCTCTAGAAAACTTCTCCAGAGCACTCAGACAAATAGAGTAGTTCCTCCACTCGCACCAGCGACAGGTCTTGCATTTCAGCCTGCAGGTGCCCTGGGCTTCGGTCCTGGATCCGAGGCTTGGGCCTGGCATTCATCCCCACCACCACCACCACCAAAAGCAGTTCTTAGTGAAAATTGTAGGTGTGCCTGTTAAGTGCTGTAGAAGAGGAAGCCTTCCAGGAGAGGGGCCATGCGGTGCCCTTTAGTGGCAGCAAAGCAAGGTCCTGGAGGCAGGGGAAGCCACCGAGAGTGACTGAGGGTCAGTGGGGGCAGACGCCACATGGCAAAGGGCAGAGAAGTCCGGGAGGTGTGAGGAGCGGCCAACCTGGCCTCGGCGCATCCGGGCACTGGGCGCAAGATGAAGCCTCAGGGAACAGATGTGACTGGGTGCCACAGCAGGGAGGGGGAGGGGAAGAGAGAACGCATCACACAAACTGCACAAAACAAGCAGCCCATGAAAAACAACCGAGAAAAAGAGGTGAAAAAGGAACAGCAAACCGGACCCTGCTTCCTCCAGCAGGAGGCTCCCACCTGCTGCTGGTCACATCCTGCTTTCTGCACCTGCCGCTTACAGGATGCGGTGGGCCTGCAGGGAATGCGGGGCTTTTGGTTGCTGTTAGCGACTTTTCTTCTCGCTTTGTGTAGCCCCCCAGAACCGTGAGGGGCATCCGAGTGGGTGAGCACAGGCGTCCCCTGAAGCGCCGCCCGGACCAGGGCGTTCAGCGCTGCGGGGAGGCCTTCGCCCCACTGCTCCACTGTTTCTCGCCAGCATTCACTGTGTCCCACAGGGCTCCAGGCTCAGACTGACGGGAGCTATTCTAGGTGTTTAATTGAAGCACTTGACCAGCCCCTGGAGAAGCTGACAACCACCTAAGACACATTTGGACTTGGTGTCCACCAAGAATGACTTTGTGCAAAGAAATGGCTGAGCACTAGAATAACTAAACGCAAATAAAATGTGTATTTCAGTGCAGTTCAGACAGGTGAGTGCTTGGTGTGGTTAAGTCCTCCTCGGACCCAAAACCAGGGATCTGAGTCACTGTGTGCCCATGGCTCCGCTCAAGTCACACCCCATGACAGCGCCCACCACGGGTGTGTCCCCACCCCAGGGTCCCGTGTCACCCCCTCCTCAGGTGTCACCTCCTCCCCATGTGTTTCCACCCCAGGGCCCCCATGTCACCCCCTTCCCAGGTGTGTCCCCACCCCAGGGGCCCCGTGTCACCCCCTCCTCAGGTGTCACCTCCTCCCCATGTTTCCACCCCAGGGCCTCCATGTCACCCCCTTCCCAGGTGTGTCCCCACCCCAGGGTCCCGTGTCACCCCCTCCTCAGGTGTCACCTCCTCCCCATGTGTTTCCACCCCAGGGCCCCCATGTCACCCCCTTCCCAGGTGTGTCCCCACCCCAGGGGCCCCATGTCACCCCCTCATCAGGTGTCACCCCGAATATGTCCCCACCCCTGCTGCCCCCACCCCCGCTGCCCTGTGTCACCCCCTTCCCAGGTGTGTCCCCACCCCAATGGCCCCCGTGTCACCCCACCCCAAGTGTCTTCACCCCAGCTGCCCCCAGGTCACCCCCACCCAGGCTTGTCCTCATCCCCTTTGTGCTTCTGCCCCAGGTGTGTCCAGATCCTTCTCTGCCCAGGGTAGGGGTTTGTCTAGGAGTTGGGTACCCAGCACGAGTGCCGTACAGGAGCCTGTCTCCCAGGGGCATGTCAGGAATGGACGGTCCCCACCGAGTGGACAGATATGGTGACTTCCACCTCCCCACATTCGTCTCTGCCTGCTCTGCAACTACCTAAGTCCCCTCTGCACACTGCAGGCAGTGCTTACTGGAGCCTCCTCCAGGGACATGAGCTTGAGGTTGCGGCCAGCTCTTGCAAAGGGGCGGGGAAGGTGCTGGGCCAACGTTTTTAATGACTTCTAACTGTAAAGCACAGAGTGGCTGCCACTGCTTTATGTCTGAATTTTTATTGTAAGACTCAGCCTCTGGGCGGCATGGTGACCAACCTGAAGGCCTGTGGCAGTGGAGAAGGGCCCAGGGTGCTGGGTGTCCTGAGGCCTGGGATTGGGTGGGGCACACAGGAGCCCACTGGTGTCAGTGGGCAGTGCTGAGCTACAAGCTCCCAACATATCTGGCTCCACAGACTCCCAGGGGCTTCCCTACCAACAGCCCATTCTGATAAGGCCAGCAGGGCTGGGGAGCAGCACGGGCGGGATCAACACCTCCCTCGCCCGTCCTGTGCACGTCTCGCACTTGCTTCCACTGCACTGATCGGCCGCATCCTGCATGGCCGTTCAGCGTTCGCTGGGTCTTTGTGCTTGCCCGATCCTGTGACTCCGGTTCTGGGTCGCATGGCCACACATCCCGCGTCCCTGGGCCCAGGAGCACGCCCGCTGGGTTTTTATGGAGAGCACTTCTCTACCACAGAAACCACGGCCTCCCACACAAGGCAAGCTGGGGGGGGATCAGGCGAAACCATTAAGCAGATGAGAGCGCTGATCCGACCCAGCAAGCGTCCATGGCAGCCGTAGCTGGGGTGCCCCGGTGGAGCCTCAGGGTTCACCTGCCCAGGCCCTCCCCGGCTTTCCAGGGCCAGTGGGTGAAGTCAGCAGGGTCCCAATGGGGGCCGCCATCTGGAGCCACCGTCTCTGCCTCCCCTGGGTCTTCCACAGCAGCGTGGGCTGGTGCAGCTCCTTCAGAACACGACACTGCTTCCTGTCCACCATCCTGGCAAGGAGTGGGGGCCATTTTAGGGGCTCCGACTCAAGTCCTTTCTGCTTTAATGACTTGTTCCGCAGGTCAGGAAATGATGATCCTCTCGCAGGCCAAGGAGACATACGCAGGCCCAGCGGCACCTCTGTGTGGTGGACGTGGCCAAGGGCCCTGGAACGTCAGGGTTGCTCTCGTCCACCGGCGCTCTGCTGCTCTCCCTCTTCGGAGTGGAGCAAGGCTCCATCAGCTGTCATCTCTGCATCCTGGAGCCCACTCTCCGTCAGCCCCACACAGCCCCGTGGGTGGGGGCACCATGCTTGACGCCCCCAGCTCGAAGCCTGTCAGTCACCCCACCCACCCACCTCTGTCAACCCAGAGCCCCTCAGCCCAGATCCCGTTCTCTGGCACCACCAGCCCTGGCCCATGGGGAGCAGCCACCTCGGAGCTATGGCATGGTGCTGTCAAGAGCAGGGCCCCAGCACCCCCACCTCCAGAGGAGGCCCCAGCACCCCACTCCCTGCCTGTCAGCCACCAACCAGCTTCGAGAAGCTCTCCCAGCAGGGATGGGCTCGGTCCCAGTGTCCCTGCTGGAACATTGAACAGAGCCGTCTGAGTGCCCCAGTGTGGCACCTTCTGCCCAACTGCCTTTCTTCGTTAATCCTCCTCACCCCACTCCCGACACCCAGGCCAGGCCCTGCACCTGCTCCTGGAGCAGGACTTGACTCCTCCACCTGGACCAGGCAGGTCCTGAAAGGCGGGGCACTGCCTGAGGGCTCTGCCAGATCCCCAGGTGAGGGAGATCTGCTTTCCCCATGGGCTGGCGGTGGCTGTGCTGGCACGAAGGGCTCCCGCGAATCTGGAGCTCACCCAGCAAACATCCAGGCGGCGGCAGCGGCTCTCAAGGGGCACTTGTGCTGTGAGCCGCAGAGCCACATTCAGGCTCGTCTGGTCCTGCTACCCGACAGCAAGACCCTTGGCCTGTCAGGGGGTCCACAGAAGATGAGCGGCCTACGAAGCTGCCACAGAAGCCCTTCGGCTTCCACCACACGCCTGCTGTCGATGGTTGGCTGACTGAAGCCCTTTGTTTTCCCTTTTCAAGATTTCCCATGAAGCTAGCAAAAGTAACAAGCTCGGCAACCCTGATCTTCACTGTTCCCCCTCCGTTGGAACACCGCGGCATGGTGGAGCCCAGCGCTTCCCCAACTCGGCCCCCGCTGGAGCAGGACAGGCAGGGGCAGGCTCATCCCACTCCGTTAGAACGCCGCAGGATGGCGGAGCCCAGCGCTTCCGCAACTCAGCCCCTGCTGGGGCAGGACAGGCAGGGGCAGGCTCAGGAGCTGTGGGAACCGCCATGTCCCACCACATGGCCAGAGAAGCTGGTTTGGGGATTGGCATGGCTATGCAGAGATATGACACAGAGTGACAAGTACTCCAAGGCCCCTGAGAATCCCTTATTTGCCTTTTTGGTTCTTCTCTGACATCTAACCTGCATTCTCCGTTCTTGCCCTGAAGTTTCGTGAGACAGCCTTAAATCCCTCTTTAACTTTCTAGGCACGAAACCTCTGCTGCTTACAACCGGAATCCTAAATTAACAGAGAAGTACGGCGAGAGGAGCCTTTTCAGCCTCAACCTATAAAACCCAGCGCAGTTACTCACACAGGTCAAGACAGATGGAGCAAGCCCAGCGCTGTCTACACAGCGGGCTGCCCCCATCACAGCCAGCCAGTGTCTAGAGCAGCTGCCTCCCCAAACACCCTGGCTCCTCCCAACATCGCACGGGCTGTCCTCGTGCTAAAGGCACCACGAGGAGGAAGCAGCTGCCGCTGATGGCTGCACACACTGCCGTCTGGTCTCTGCAATGTCACAGGTGTAGTCTTCAGATTTGCTTTGATGTAGCGAACCTAACACATGAAAGTAACTAGAAAGCTGTTTTCTCCCTTCCCCTTAAAAAGATGATCTTAGTACACTATGAAGCAATCACTTTTTAAACAATCCCACATAGAAATAGTCCGTTACACATTTTAATCAGACATAACTTCTCTTTTAACGAACACACAGGTTATTTGGTGAAGATTTTCCGTTGAAACACCCTGTAATTGGTGCAAGGTTCACAGAATAATTTTGTCCGTATGAAATCAACATCTGCCAGTTCACACATACACACACATATGCACACATATGAAATATATATGAGAATTATATATCCTTATCGGTGACTGTTAACGAAGGAGGAAAAGCGCATCTACCAAATGAGCTAACCAGACTAGTAGAGAAGTGCCGCCTCTTCAGTTTTGTTTTCGGAATGTCCAGGTCAATCGTGACGCCTTCTAATTTATTCCAAAGTCAAGTCTGAAGCAAGCGAAATTAGAAAGTGCAATCTCAATGCCTCCCTGAAAAAGTCTTTCCTTTTTAAGTCACTGCAACTTCATACACAATGTTCACTACAGACAAGGATGACAGTCGCCGCCCCTCCTCTGCCCTGCAGCAAACCCTCCTCTTCCTGAGGAACCTGGACCTGCTTCCGAAACCGAGGATCTCCCAGCGCTCCGCTCCTTACCCTGAAGGGTCCTCTCTGCCTTGCTGGCTCAAGGTTTTATAGTTACTGTGACCTCCAAGAAAGCAGCAGGACAAATAATGCTTTACTCTGATGTCGCTACAAACTCAGCACACACACCAACCAGCACAATGACCCTTTTTTGCAGCTTTAAACCACTTTGGTTGAGGAATGTTCCACCGTGAGCTCACCTTTCGGTACATCTGTGGAGTTACCAAATGGCACAGCACCGTGTAACTATTCCGAACCTAACACAATCCATTTCAAAAGGTGGTGACGTCACAGCGACACTCAAACTTGCTGATGGAAGGCAGCCATGCCACACAAACAGGAACTAATATCAACCCTATAGAAAGACCATCTTCTGGCCAGGCGCAGTGGCTCACGCCCATAATCCCAGCACTTTGGGAGGCTGAGGCAGGTGGATCACCTGAGGTCAGAAGTTTGAGGCCATCCTGGCCAACATGGTGAAACCCTGTCTCTACCAAACATAGAAAAATTAGCCAGGCATGGTGGCGGGCACCTGTAGTCCCAGCTACTCGGGAGAATAAGGCAGGTGAATCACTCAAACCCAGGAGGTGGAGCTTGCAGTGAGGCGAGATCGTGCCACTGCACTGCAGCCTGGACGACAGAACGAGATTGTCTCAAAAAAAAAAAAAAAGAAAGAAAGAAAAAAAGAAAGCTCGTCTTCCTAACTCTGCAGGACCGGGTCAGCGGGTCAGTGTCCACACCGGCTTGAAGGCTCTGAACATATCTATCTCGCTATAGAAGTAAGCTAGGCGGCCGGGCACGGTGGCTCAAGCCTGTAATCCTAGCACTTTGGGAGGCCGAGACGGGCGGATCACGAGGTCACAAGATCAAGACCATCCTGGCTAACCCGGTGAAACCCCGTCTCTACTAAAAAAAATACAAAAAACTAGCCGGGCGAGGTGGCGGGCGCCTGTAGTCCCAGGTACTCGGGAGGCTGAGGCAGGAGAATGGCGTGAACCCGGGAGGCGGAGCTTGCAGCGAGCTGAGATCCGGCCACTGCACTCCAGCCTGGGCGACAGAGCAAGACTCCGTCTCAAAAAAAAAAAAGAAGGAAGCTAGGCTGACAGCACCCTGGACATTAGAAACAGGATGAGGATTAACAATTCGCCTCAAAAATCATTCACCTACAAAGTAGCTGACTGTATTTTCTTCATTTGAAGACAAACACGGAGTGTTCCCACGGGACACCCAGCACACTGGACTGCTGCGGTGTGGAGCCTGCACCACTCTTTTTTTTTTTTTTTTTTGAGACGGAGTCTCGCTCTGTCACCCAGGCTGGAGTGCAGTGGCCGGATCTCAGCTCACTGCAAGCTCCGCCCCCCCGGGTTCACGCCATTCTCCTGCCTCAGCCTCCCGAGTAGCTGGAACTACAGGCGCCCGCCACCTCGCCCGGCTAATTTTCTTGTATTTTTAGTAGAGACGGGGTTTCACCGTGTTAGCCAGGATGGTCTCGATCTCCTGACCTCGTGATCCGCCCGTCTCGGCCTCCCAAAGTGCTGGGATTACAGGCTTGAGCCACCGCGCCCGGCCGCCTGCACCACTCTTTAGGCAGGGGTCTGACGCATCAGGAAGTACAAACGAGAGGAAGAGTTTCGTCCAGATTTACCGAAAAAATGACTTTTTAGGGGCCGGGTGCAGTGGCCCATGCCTGTAATCCCAGCACTTCGGGAGGCCGAGGGCGGTGGATCACCTGAGGTCAGGAGTTCGGTACCAGCCTGGCCAATATGGTGAAACCCCATCTTTACTAACACCACAAAAATTAGGTGGGTGTGGTGGCGCACGCCCATAATCCCAGCTACTCAGGAGGCTGAGGCAGGAAAATTGCTTGAACCCAGGAGGTGGAGGCTGTAGCGAGCCGAGATCACACCCCTGCACACCTGCCTGGGTGACAGACAGATTCCCTCTCAAAAAAATAAAAATAAAAATGAGTTTCTCAGATAAAGCGATGGTGGTAGAGCAGAAAGACACGCTAGCAGCCACTGAAGAGGAGCATCTGAGCACCCTTACAGGGCGTGGGTGCCGAGAGCAGAGCCTGCGGGAGGCCCGTGTCTGTTGCAGGTAGTGCATGTCGGCTCTGAGCCCGCCTCTGCCGTGCTCACGGCATTCCAAGGATTTCAAACAATGCACGAGTGCAAAGCGTGTACAGCTCAGAGTGTAGTAACATGCGCTCCAGGAATAGTGGCCCTCACACTGCCACGTGGGTTCTATAAGCTTAGGATTTTTAACAGTTTGTCCTATTCCTGTACAGACAGGCAGGCGGGGAGAACACAGCCCTTGAAAGCAGATGGACAACGCTGCTCCCGCTTCTGCCTGGCCACAAACTATCCAGTAACTGCACACAGGTTACTCTTGGTTCTGGAGAAAAGGTGCCTGGGCTCAGACTGGCTCCAACACCACTACCTGCGTGGCCTCAGGCAGCTCAGCTCTTCCACGCCTCCGTAAAGTGAGGTGCGTGGAGACAAATTCACACAGCAGGCCCAAGGCTGTGTCCTACCAGGGCCTGTGTGCAAGGCTGGCCCTTGACTGACATCTGGGAACTTGGATTCTGGGCAAGTTCCCAGCACCATTAACTCCTACAAGTGGCTCTGTGCCCGCAGTGCTTGTGCACCTGGCACAGACCACACCAAGCCCACCCTCCTTCTGGACAAGTCGGGAATTTCCACACAGGCCAGGCAGGGGGAACCATGTGACCAGCCCTTAGCAAAAGCCCAGGTGCTGAGTCTCCAGCGAGCTTGTTCTTACAGTCAGGTGTGTCCTGTGTGACTCCAGGGAGTGGACCCTGGAGCGCCCTGCACGTGGCTCCTCTGAGCACCACCCACACACCCTCTCCCTTTGCTGATTCTGCTTTGTGCCGAGTACAGCCCTGTGCTGAGTCCTGTGAGATCTCCCAGCAGGTCATGCAACCGGGGGCTGGCCTTGGGGCACCCCCGCAAAGAATAATAGTAATACCTACTTCACAGGATTAGACTGGGGATCCCATGAGCGAAGAGGTTACAGGCTCAGTTCCCAGCAGCTATGTGTGACACGGGGCGGTAATACCTGTCTACCACGTCGGTTGCAGTAAACAATGAGATAATATATATAAAAATATTTTGTAAAGAGTGAAGAATTACACAAATAAAAAGTGGCATTATTACTCATAAATGGCAAGTATTTTTGAGTATATATCATTGCTAATAAATATCTGCTTGCTGAACACAGACACAAGCCAAATTCCAAACACAAATTAGGTACCAACTGGATACAAGAAACTCTTGGTGTTTTCTTCCCCTTTATGGGAAAGAGATCTTTAAAATAAAAAACCTTGATAATATAATATTACTACTTTCTATTATCATCTGTTATGCAGTTCTACACATTATCTGACAAATTCTTAATGTAATCTGGTGAGAGAAAAATAATTTGAGGAGAAGGTATTTAGGGAGTGATGAAACACAGAAAAGTACTTGTGGTAAGGACCCGTATTGTATTTGACTTTTTAAAAAACCATTTTTACCCTGGAGCTAAAATACGAGGTTACACTGTTCTGCTTGATACAATACGGGCAGCTTACAAATGCTTCAGGGAAACCACATCCCCAGCAGCTGCAGAGCGTCAGGAGGAAACCCTCTGTCTCTGAGGCTTCGGGCACTTCTGCTCCGAGGGTGGCGGGAGTGGAGGTCGCTGCTGAAGGGTGGCGGTGTGGCCATGGCACAGGCAGCAAGGGACAGACGACGCCAGAGGCCCAGAAGGCTCATGACTGCCTGGCCTCGTGTCACTAAAAGCAGTTTTATTTCATCCTTGTCTTACTTTTCTAGTATGGCTTCCTCTACTCTCTTAAACTTCTTTAGTTCCACAACTAGTTCCCAGTATCTGAGATAGAGCCACATGAGTCTGCCATTCTGGCGTTTGTTGGTGTTCCAGACTTCACCACAGTATGTATCGTGCTGAAATATGTCGGTGAGACCGGCTGCCATCTCTAGGTCCGCGGCAACGGGGTCGACGGACGCTCGCACCAGTAAGCTCTTCTCTAGCTCCAGCCGCTTGCTGCGAGGAAGAAACAGACTACAGTAGATGTTCTGTCTTTCCGTGAGAACAGCTTCAAACTCTTTCAGCAAAAGCCTGGCTCTCCTTTGCCAGTTTTCTTCCTTTTGCAGGCAGCTCAAATACGCATTTCTCAAAGGCTGCACCTGCCTTTTTTCTTGCATCACCTGGGCCCGTTCCTGTTCCAGAAGTTTCTTCTCTTCTACCAACTTGCGCCCCTGAGAGATAAGGGCTTCTCGATAACTAGCTGTTCTGTTCTGTTCCTTTTCGAGTTCCAGGGACAACTGAGCAACAGCACGCCGATTTTCTGAGATCATGGCATGGTACTTGGCTTCCAGATCCTGTTGAAAAGCAGTAGTTCTCTGACGGCAGGCTTCTCTCTCTTTTTCTATTTCTTTCTGGGATTCCCTAGACCAAATCCAACCTGACATGAATGGAGAAAAATACACAAAATGAAAAAGTTAGGGCTGAAGTTCTATAATTTTCACTTAAATCATAAGGCAGCTAAGGATAGCATTTCAATAAAAGCTTAAGACCTCAGCTGTACCAAGATCACTTCTGTACAAAAACGTGTCACAGGCCAGGTTCTTATCTTAAAATCAGGCAAGGGCTGGGTGACCAAACGATCCTAACTCTAACCCTTTCCATCTTCTAATTGTTTGTTGCTAAGAAGATCTACCACTGCTTTTTTCTCCTCTCAAACCCACCACCGTTTGCCTGCTCTGGCTCTAGTACAACTGGCAAAGTTTAAAATATTTGGGGTCGGCTTCAACTACCGTTGGCCGGGTTCTTATAAAAGTTGTATTTAGCTTTGCCTGGTGGCAACGAGTAAACGGCCTGAGTTTGAGACACTGCTTACGTTCTGATAAGGACACTTGAAAATAAAGTGGGTTAAAAAGTTTAGCCTCAAGACACAGTGGGCTTCTTTCCTCAAACTGGAGACTGCCGGAATCTCACGAAAACGGGACGGGGACTGCTGGGAGGCTGGAGTGGGCATTGCCCGGCTCTGCCCCTCACACCAAAGAGCAGCAGGGCTGGCCTGCACTGCAGAGAAACCCAGTGCCTCTAAGACCTGATGACCCACAGAGCCTGCCAGCCAGCGTGCACCTGGCTCCAGATGGAGTCACCGACTCTTTGCCCGTCCCACAAGTAAGAGTTGGGTGTGTTTCAACAATAAAAAAATGACCGTGCGATAATAGTTCTATCCACATTCCGAACTGATGCTATTGCTCAATAATTTCATACATGTTAGAGCAACTACTGCTAAGTCTCAGTTTTTCCAAATAGCGATGCGTTCTGCTTGGACATTCTAAAAGCAGCACGGAATTGAGTCCTCTGGAAAACAGGATTGTATGGCAAATTTTCAAAGCCCAAGGCCCCAAAAGCCACTGAAAGCAGCAGTGTGGGTTCCCTTGTGCGCTTCTATCCTGCAACCCATCCCCCACTAACCACTCTGTGGAAATCGCTCGTCCATAGCCCCTTCTAGAACCACTGGAGTTTCCATCCATTTGCATGGTTCTCTTCCTCCTTTCGCTGCTTCCCCCAACCCAGGTGGCGTCCTTGACATTCAATTCTTTTCTCCCAGGTCATTAATGGTCACCTTTTTCTCCTGGGTCATTAATGGCCTTTGTGGGAGCAATTCCATGACAGCAAGATTTCCATTAGCCTAAAAGCCAGTCTCCCTTGGATATGCTGTTGACACCTCACTGCGTAAGCACAAAACCAAACTCATCCTTCCTCAACCAAAAATAGCTGCTAGTCCTACTTCAGATGACAACTCAAACTCATGTCATCTTTATCTCCTCCCTTTGACAAGAGCTCACAGGCAGAGGCCTGACCAGGAAAGAAGCTGCTACAATGTCACTTGATGAGCACTGAGGGGTTTGCAAAGGTATGTGAGGAGAGAGAAGGGAAGGCTCGTGTGGTTTTGGTGAAGTCAAGGAAGGCTTCATAAAAAGGTGAATGAACAAAGTCTGGAAGGCTGAGCAGGAGCTGCAAGGAAGTTACCTGAGGTCAAATGAGCAGGGCAGGCGAGAGCCTTGGAGAGCGAGAGGTTCCAGGAGCCAGATGTGCCTGGGGATGGGGCTTACGTCAAGGAGAAGCTGGCGCTGCCTTTGGAGAGTCACAGGTGCCAAATGAGAGGGGCCCCCAGGAGACCCGGACAAGGAGCACGGGATGTGCTCTGCAGCCATGAGGAGTCAAAGGAATTAACGTGACTTAAGAGCATCCAGGAGGTGTGGAGGGCTGGAGGTGGGGCTGGGAGAGGTGGGGCCAAATCAAGAGGAGACAGGCAGCTGCTCCCAGATACAATCTGGGGGCGATCTCAGTCAAGTCACATCGACCAGTAAAACCACTGGAAAACTAACACAGACAATGATGCATACAGTTAATCATCAGACCCCACCACACAGGCTGTGGTTATTGAGAAGTTTGGGGCTGGACGGGGAGCCAGGCAGGGGAGGCTGCAGGCAGCTTTGCAGAGGAAAATGTGGCACGACAGGCTGGGCGTCAGGAAAACCTGAATTCCGAGTCTGACCCGACAGACGCCTCATGACTCTGGGCACATGCGACTTTTCAAAGCCTCAGTTTCAGGTGGGACTCCTGCTTCTGGGAAGACGGAGTAGACGTCCTCCCTATTCTTCTAAGAAAACTAAGAAGACACAGTAGACGTCCTCCCTATTCTTCTTCTAATTGAACTAAAAATCCTGGACTTCATCGATAAAACAAGATGACTCTGAAAGGTAGAGAGAAGGGAGACTGGCTTGGGTCCCTGGGACCCCAGGAACAACATGGGGGCAAGTCCTCTAGATTTTCATTTTGCTTCATAGATCCCAGACTTGGAGCTGAAGACACAGGTAATTGGAAATCTCAACGGGTGCAGACAAAAAAGAAACTCCAACAGAGCCTGCTATCTCGGCCCAGAGGACCATGATAGGGGCCTGGTAAGGGAGAAAACATTCCGACAGTAATCACTCTACATCAGCCAAGTAATACAGAAAAAACTGCGGCCCCCGCTCCCACCCAGCGGCAAACACAGGGTGGGGTCGGGGGGAGCCACATGGGGAGCAGCGCTGAGGCCTTCCCAGCCAGGGGCACCAGTAGAGGCCAGGGGGCTGGAACTCCCACCCTTTCCTCGAGGGCCCACAGGGGCCAGAGGCTGAGTGGGAGCCTGGACTTCTATCCCAACCCAGCGGTAAGGAGGCTGCGTGGCCCTTCCCCGGCCAGGGTGTTGTTCAAGAACGCCAGCTACAACTGAAGGTTTAAATAAAAACCAGTGTTTCATCACGTAACACCCAAAATGCCTAGGTTCCAGCAGAAAATCACTCATAGTACCAAGGGTTAGGACGGGTCATGCTAAATGAACAAAGATGACCAACAGATGCCAATAGCCGGATGAGAGACGGCAGTATTATCTGACGAGGACTTCAGAGCAGCCGCCATGACAGAGAGTCAACGAAAACAAACAGAAGACATAAAGAAGAACCAAATGAAAATTCTAGAACTGAAAAACAGAACAACTGGGAGAAAAACTGGAATGATGGACTAGACATGGAGAAGCAAGAGCAGCGCACCCCGGGCAGAGGCTCAGGACTCCCCCGTGAACACAGGAGCAATCCTTTGCAGCCTAGCCACAAACATAATTCCACAATATGTAAAAGGAATTCTACAGCATGGCCATGGGGGGATTGCTCCAGAGACAAAAGGCCGGTTCAATATTCAAAAATCAATGTAATCTAACACATTACTGGCCGGGCGCTGTGCACTTTGGGAGGCCAAGGCGGGCGGATCACGAGGTCAGGAGATCGAGACCATCCTGGTTAACATGGTGAAACCCTGTCTCTATTAAAAATACAAAAAAATTAGCCAGGCGTGGTGGCGGGCGCCTGTAGTCCCAGCTGCTGGGTAGGCTGAGGCAGGAGAATGGCGTGAACCCGGGAGGTAGAGCTTGCAGTGAGCCGAGATTGCGCCACTGCACTCCAGCCTGGGTGACAGAGCGAGCCTCTGTCTCAAAACAAAACAAAACAAACAACTAACACGTTACTAAGCTGATGAAGAAAAATCACATGATCACATCAATTTAAACCAAAAAAAAGGACCAAATTCAACACCTATTCATGAAAAACAGGAATACAGGGGAGTTTCCTTGATTTGATAAACAGCATCCACAGAAAACCTGCGGCTGACACTGTACTTAGCTGGGAGAGGCTGAGTGTGTTCTCTCTGGTCAGGGACCGTCCGACAGAGTCCCAGAAGTTCCAGCTACCACCGGAAGGCAAGACAAGAAATCAAAGGCAAACAGGCTGGAAAGAAGAAATACAACTAAAGTCTTATCCCTTATAACAAAATTAACTCAAATGGGTAAGTGCTTAAATGTAAAATGTAAAACTAAAACTCTAGGGAGAAAAAACCTTCAGGATCTAGGGCAGAATTCCTAGACTTTTCACAAAGAGTAGAGTTCATAAAAGGAAACGATGAGAAGCTGCCCCTCATCAAAAGTACCACTTTTACACTGCAAACGCCCCTCTGAAGAGAATGAACAGACAGGCTACAGACTGGAAAAGGATACTGGCAAGCCACATATGCAACTAAGGACTAGAACCTAAGACATATTAACAACTCTCAAAACTCAACGTTAAAAACAAACAGTCTATTAGAAAATGGCTGAAAGACAAGAATACTCATTCCATCAGGATATGCTGATGGCAATGAGCACGTGAGGAGGTACTCGACGTTGCACACTTGAGCCACGATGAAAAAAGATGCTCAACACTGCAAAGTAGAGCCATGACAAGACAGCACCGCACACCCATCAGGATGGGCAGACAGGACAGCAGTGTGAGCACCAAATGCCAACCAGGAGGTGGAGAACCCGATCAGCTCTGCATTGCTGGTGAGAACCTAAAACGGTGCAGCCACTTGTGAAACATTTCAGCCCTTTCTTAAAAAACTAAATGTGCAACTTCCATAACACCCAGTAATTTCACTTCTGGCCCTTTATCCCAGAGAAATGAAAACTTACATTGACACAAAAACCTACACAAGAATGTTTATGAGAGCTTTATTCATAACAGCTGAAAACCGGAAAGGACCCAGATGTCTTTCAGTGGTTAAACACACTGTGGTATGCCCATGTCATCAAACACCACTCAGCAATGAAAATATCTATGAACTACTGATACAGCAACAATCTGCACGGACCTCAGGGGGTTACGCCGAATGAAAAAAGTCAACCCAAAAGGTTATATACCGTTTGATTCCATTTATATAACATTCTTGAAATGACGAAGTTCTGGAGATGAAGAACAGATCAGCAGTTGCCGGGGGCTGTGGAGGGAGGGCAGAACACAGGGCAGCACGAGGGGCCCGGGATTGGGGGATCTTGATGGCATCCTGGCAGATGTCTTGGCTGTGACACTGCACTGTCATGTTGCAGATGCTTCCATTGGGGAAAGCTGGGTAGAGGGTACATGGGCTGTCTGTATTACTGACGACAACTGCATGTGACTTACATCACCCCAAAATAAAATATTTAATTAAAAGAAACTGAGTTGGGCCCCGTGAACTCAACCAGTCCCTTTCAGCTCTAAGACCATGTGTTTTCTAGGTCAGGAGAGGAAACAGGAGGTACAGGAACGCTAGAGGGGAGAAAGCATGGAGAGATGGGAAAAGCACGGAGAGAGAGATGGGGAAAGGGGAATCAGGAAGACCGAGAGGAGAGAGATGGGGAAAGGGGAATCAGGAAGACTGAGAGAAAAGGGGGGAAAGCAAAATGACAGAGGAGGTGTGAAGAGAGAGAAGCCCACTGGAGCGCTGAAATACTGAATAGTCTCCCAGGGGAGCTACTCAGGGTAAGAATTTCTCCAGGGACTGCTCTCTCAGGCAAGCACAGTTACACACATTTCTATGTTATGTTAAGTAAAAATCTAGTAAATGGCCTGGGCACAGTGGCTCATGCCTGTAATCCCAGCACTTTGGGAGGCTGAGGCAGGCAAATCATGAGGTCAGGAGATGAAGACAATCCTGGCCAACATGGTGAAACCCTGTCTCTACTAAAAATACAAAAATTAGGCGGGCGTGGTGGTGGGTGCCTGTAATCCCAGCTACTCGGGAGGCTGAGGCAGGAGAATCACTCGAACCAGGGAGTCAGAGGTTGCAGTGAGCCGAGATTGCGCCACTGCACTCCAACCTGGCGACAGAGCAACACTCCGTCTCAAAAAAAAAAAAAAAAAAAAAAAATCTAGTAAATGTAGTAAGTGATCAGGACTGGCTTCTCATCAATAAATCAATCAATGGCACTTATGAAGTATTCATACATCTGCCTCTTCTTCTAGACTACGCTCCTGTGTGCAACAGAACCTCAAACACACCATAACACACCTTTGGAGAATCCTTACAAGAATGCCAAGTTAACAATTATCTCTCACCACACTACCTCAGCAAAAAACCAAGAAGAAAAAATAAAATATTCTTCAACCCTTTTCAGGGACAGAAAGCATCATTTCAAAAGTCCAAGAAGGGGAGGTAAGAATTTCAAAAGTGAAAGTTATCATGAAAGGCTATAAAAGCTAGAGATGAGTCTGAAAAACAAATGGAAAATGAGTCACTTCAGGGCCTCTCCCAGCCTCAAAGCCAATTAATTATTACATTAGTAGGAGTAATTTTAAGCCTTCCAATCCACTCACCCTAGCCACAGGCAACAGTAGCCTCTCCAAGTGTTAAGTGTTTTTTTTCCCAAGCCTGCAGGCGGGTGAGCTTTTCACATGGCAGCCCCTTAGCATTGGATGTGGACCTGCCCTGTCTTTCACCAAGAAGCAAGCACTGTGCAGATCACTGAGTCATAAAAACCACCTGCTCTTACCAGCCTCCTCTTCCTCTACAGCAAAACTCCTGACCTGAGACATGGAAGCAGATAAAAAGCCTCTACGTAAAATGTACCACTACAGCTAGAGGGCAGTTTTGCCTTTCTTCCATTCAGTTACTCAGTCTCTCATGTTCCTAAATGCCAGCCCAGAACCATGGAACCTGAAGAAACACAAAACGCACTCCTCTGCATCAGTGAATTGATTGTGTGGTGGGGATATAAGTCTGCATGTGACTGACAGGTCCCCAACGTGGTACCAAGTCAATCTAAACTAGAGAGAATTTCTGGTCAGGCCAAGCAGAGATTTCCTGGATGAAGTCTCCGAAGATTGATTTCCTAAACATTAAACATCACTGGTTTTCCAAAACTAGTTTTCTTTTTTTGTTTTTTTTAAACCCTGTTGCCCAGGCTGGAGGGCAAGTGGTGCCATCTCCACTCACTGCAGCCTCGACCTCCCAGCTCCACTGATCTCCCCACCTCAGCCTCCTGAGGAGCTGGGACTACAGGTGTGCATGGCCACAACTGGCTAATTTTTGTATTTTTGTAGAGATGGGGTTTTGCTGTGTGGCTCATAACGGTCATGCGATCTGCCTACCTGCGCCTCGCAGAGTGCTGGGATTACAGGTGTGAGCCACCACGCCCAGCCCACTGATTTGCTTTACACCCATTTTTTCCCTCATCAGTCCTTATGAAGGCACCTGAAACAAGGAACCGCCCCCCCCTGAATTGAGAGCAGCAAAGCCTTGAGAGGGAACTTAGTTATTAAAACCCACCCCACACAAAATGCTTCTAAACGCCTTGGCTGACTTAATCCTTGCAATGTGCTGAGGTTAAGTATGATTATCCATCTCCTGTGAACAGGAAAACTGAGGCTCAGAGGTTAAATGATTGGCCCACGGTTCACTGCATGGGATAAAACTCAGCTGTCCCTGACAGGTCCCAAAGTCACGGCCTTCAGGCTCCCACATCATGCTGCCTCCCTCACCGGGGCTCCACACTCTCAGCCTGGAAAACATGAATTTTAAGAAAACCATGACTTACGAAAAGCAGCCAGTCCCAGCATTGGAACCAACAGGGCATAATTCCATCTGCTTCCATCACCACCATCCGCCCTGGAATTAGGCCGGATATTCCAGTTTGGGGGATCATTGAGGTTATTCATGGAGATATACCTTGAAGTAAAGAATAAAAACGTTAACTAGTTTTATTCAAGAAATGTTTTTCAGTTTTAACTATGTGCTGCACAGCACTGAGGCCGTACGGGATTCAAAGAAGGAAAAAACAAGACCAGGGTCGGGCGTGGTGGCACACACCTGTGGTCCCAGCTACTCGGGAGGCTGAGGCAGGAGAATCGCTTGAACCCGGGAGGTGGAGGTTGCAGTGAGCCAAGGTCACACCCTGCACTCCGCCTTGGCGACCAGACGGACTCCGTTCAAAACAAACAAACAAAAAACAAGAACTTAGATGAAAGTGGACTCACAAATCTGGTTGGGGAAAGTGGAGGAACAGGACATGTCCTCTAAGCATCACTGAAGTGCAGTAGAATCAGGGTAATTCTCTAGTACAAATAGTGTTTAAATGTATGGCTGCTGCGATGAGTTAATTTTGTATGTCAACTTGTACCACGAGGTGCTCAGATACAGTTAAGCATATATTTCTGGTGTGTCTCTAAGGGAGTTTTTGGGTGAGATTAGCTGTTCGAACCTTTAACCAATCCGTTTAACATCTCTCCACTCTATCTGGTTGTATTTCCTCTGGAGAACCCTCATAAGTTGTATCAAAGATACAGAATCAATTCGAAAAAGTGGGCTCCACAAGACACTCTTCATATGACTAGGGTTATGAACAGAGGGAGCAGCATTCCGACAGCAAGAGAAAGAAGAAATGGGGTCTTCTGATCAGTAAGGAAGACTGTAGGAAGCAGGGAGGGGTGGTGTGGTGGGGGAAGGTGCAAACAGTGGCTACGACAGCGTTCTCAGCGCCTCCTGGTGTGGTGGTGACAGAGATGACAGCACTCTCTGCTCGGCTAGCATGCACCCTCTATAGCAAGGCTGGGGGCTAATCGTTAATAAATTTACTTAATTACTCGAGTACCTTACCATGAGGGTTGCACGTTTTTCAACAAAGAGAGTCACGTTTAAATTTGTTTATCATGTGACCTCCACAAATAACACAGCGATTAAACAAAATAGTCAAGGGAGTATAATCAAACAAGAACAATCCCAATCCAATTTCTGAAAACTTTTCACCGGATTTTCAACAAGTATTTAACATCTAAAGATTGAAAAATTATGATAAGCATAAAGATATGACAAAAATATTCCGAGCTTAATACAAGGGGTGTGGTAATTATAGAATTAAAAATTAAGGCCAGGCGCGGTGGCCTCACGCCTGTAATCGCAGCACTTTTGGGAGCTGAGGCAGGGGATTCATTCCCCCTGAGGTCCAGGATTATGAAATCAGCCTGCAATATGGTGAAATACATATTTCACTCTACTAAAAAGTACAAAAAATTACGCTGGGCCTGGCGTGGCGGTGGTCCTGTAGTCCCAGCTACTTGGGCGGCCTGAGGCGGAAATCTCTCCTCTTTTTTTTTTTAGACAGCTCCTTGCTCTGTTGCCCAGGCTGGAGGGCAAGAGTGGCGTGATCTCCGAAGCTGTCCCGGGAGAATCGTCTTGAACCCTGAGGCGAGGTTGCAGTGAGCTGAGATCAGCACCATTCGCACTCCAGACTGGCAAACAAGAAGCCGAAACTCCATTTCGGACCAAAACAAAACAAAATTAGATAGATAACTAACCCAGCACCAAAACTGCGTAACTAAAAAAAAAGTCTAGGAGGTACGTGTCCATTCCCTGCAAGCCTAATAAAGGCCCAGCGTCTGGGGCAATACATCCAACAGAACACAATAACTCTAACAGATGAAGTTAGCGCGTCACAAATACTTTCTGTACGTGTTATTTATTAACGTAAAAATGGGAAACCAACCCAAATATCCATAAAATGGAGACTGCAACCATTGCAAATTCTACCCTAAAGTTAACTCAACATTCGTTAAACAGCTCCGCATAAGAGAAAGATTTTAATAATTTAAAGTGAAAAGACGCAAAAACAAAATTACTAATGATATTGTTTATTTTTTGCAATGCCCACTTCATTCCACAAAAAGTTTCAGATATCTTACAAAAAGACACACTAGAAATATTAAAATACTGTCTCTGAACCTGAAGCAAAATCGGGTAAGCCTAGCAGAAAGGCGTATAAGCCAGAGGAATCACGCTCTTTAAAAGCTGACCACGGCCCTGCGCGGTGGCTCCGCCCCATAATCCCCGCACTTAGGGAGGCCGAGGACGGAGGATGCGCTTGACGGCCCAAGAGTTCGGACCAGCCCGGCAACACAGCAGATCCCGCCACTACGAAAACATTAAAAGTTAAGCCGCAAGCCAGAAGCCAGGGACATGGCTTGAGGATCGCCCCGCCCCTCGGAGGCCGGGAGAACGGAGGGTCACTCCCGCTCAGAGAGGCCGAGGCCCCGGGTCGCTCCCGCCCACCTCCGGGACGACAGCGCAGCCCATCCGACCATTCCCTGTGGTCCTCCGGACGTTCAGGCCCCTCCTGGGCGATCCCGCAGAACACACCCATGGGGCGGTTTAAAATTTGGTGCCCAACACATCCCCGAAATAGGGCCCCTCTACCTCGATCCGGGAGCCCAGGACCTCCGCGTCCCCCTCAACACGCTCCCGTCCGCGGGTACCGCTTCTGCGCAGGCGCGCCAGCGCCCCGCTCAAGCCCCCCGCCCGGGCGTGACGTAGTGCGCAGCGGCGCGATGTCCCCCAACTACCAGCCCCGCTCGACCCCGGCGTGCTGCGCAGGCGCGATATCCCCCCTGCGCCGCCGCGACCCCGGCGTGGTGCGCGCAGGCGCCAGTCTGCGCAGGGACGGCGGACTGCGTGGCGGCGTCACAGTCATGTCGGGGTCCGGAGGCTGTCCGCGGCTGCTGAGCCACTCGGCGCCCTGGCGCTGGCCCAAGGCGGTCAGTCCGTACCGCGGACCGGGGCGGGGCAACGGCGGGGGCCGGGCGGCGTAGAGAGCGGGCAGGTCCCCAGCGGGTGCGAGCGGAGCGGGCGCCGGGGTCCCCGCGCCCCGGGTCCGGGATCGGGAAGGGGCTGGGAGAGCCTGGCCGGTGCGAGGCGGAGCCGAAGGCCGGACTCGGGAACCGGGCAGCTCAGGTCCTTAGCAGGTAGTCCGCGTCCCGGTGAAGGTCACGACCCTGCGGCTGCTAGTGCCTCCCTCTGCCGCCTTGGTCCGGCCCTGGGTCCGGAACCACCCGCGGGCTGAGGTGGCTCGCCTCAGTGCCTGGCGGGTGGACTCGGGGAGGAGTCGTTGTCTGCCCCAAGGTCACTCGGGCGGATAGCGGCCCGTGGGCGTCCTCTGTGCGGTTGTCTCCGAGGGCCGCCCGCAGCCGTGGGTGGGCGGGCGGGACGGGTGAAACCGCCCGGGTGGTGGCGAGGAGTGGGCGGGCTCGACCGGGTTGGCGCGTCGGTGGAATTGCTGCGCGCCCAAGGCTTAGGCTTGCAGTTCCGCTTTCCAGAAAAGCGCAAATCTGTGCGTGTCCACTTCGCGACTTGTAAGTTAAGGGTGTCAACTTTGGGTCGTGTTTTGGTGGCCCTGTGCCACTGAAAATGTGCCAGTGTTAAAAGCAGCTGTGCCGGTTTTTAAAAATCAGACGGAGAGCTCAGCGCACTGACCGGCGAGGACGCGGGACCGGTGCTGCCTGTGCGCTGAGTGCCTCGAGGCCGGGCTCCGCTTCGTCCAGGATGACGGTCAGGGTTGTACTTCCCTGAGCCCTCGCTCTCTGAGTTTGTCTGAATGTGCCCTCCACGATTGCATCTTCAGAATCGGCCTTCTAGGGTTTTAGTTCATCAAGCTGAATTGATAGGTTTCGTTGCTTGGTTCTTTTGAATGAACTTACCCACCCACCTCCTTAATTACGAAGTAATTTTATTATTTATTTATTTTTTTTTTTTTTTTTTTTTTTTTTTTGAGACGGGAGTCTCGCTTCTGTCGCCCGGGGTGGAGTGCCGTGGGCCAGATCTCAGCTCACTGCAAGCTCCACCTCCCGGGTTCACGCCATTCTCTGCCTCAGCCTGCCAAGTAGCTGGGATTACAGGCACCCTGCCACCTCGCCTGGCGTAATTTTTTGTATTTTTAGTAGAGAGACGCGGTTTCACGTGTTCAGCGCAGGATGACGAAGTAATTTTAAATTGCAGAGTAAAGTGTCAGTAGGAACCAAGGCATTCAGCAATATTGATTTTGAATTACCTGTAATTGTGCAATTTCCTCTCCTTTTTTGAAATAGTTATTAAAAACCTCGTTGAATTAAATGTGAAGATTAGTCATACAGCCATCCTGTCACATCAGAAAGCATGTAAACGTTCTAGTGTGTTGCTGTGATTGGTGCTGACTGAGCAGAGATCCCTGCCGCATCTTGGGCTTTTAAGAGCTGCTAGGAGGGCGTTGACAAGCCAGAAGTAAAGCCCATGGTCAGTGGGGCTTTTTAGGGGAAATGTTAGCTTGTGATTGGAGAAAAGCTAGGGCTGGTGCCTTTGTCCTTAACCCAGATGGTGCCCAGTGTTCCTCCTGCAGCCTCAGACCCTGCCAGCGGCGGAGGCACCTCAGACAAGATGGCAAGATAGCGAAATTTAACCAAAATTTAGTCTTGGGTTTTGTAAAAGTCTTTTTATCTATGAAGTTAGCTTTTCCTACAGAAATTCTGCCTGCAAGCAGTATATTTATCGGCATTTCAGATAGGCTTTTATTCTTGAAGAATTGGAGTTTACAAAAGAACAGCGTAATCAAATTAGCAGAAAAAGAATTCATGATAGCCAACTGAGAAATGTGTTTGGAAAACAGATGCTGAGGATAATTTCAGTAAAGTCCAGAGAGAATTTTTAAATCAAATTTTGGCCAGTTCTGTGGTGTTTTTGATCATTCTATATTTACAGCTGATTTCAAGTGACGAACTTTTCAGACTTATTTTGCTTTTGGTTTCTTTTTATGTCCCGGTGCACTGACACAGCTTCCAAACTGTTCGAAAGCAGTGTAATCAGAGGAAAAGTAAAACCAAGAAACTTAAATAGTTACTGGGTTAACTGCTTACTTCAGGTGAAGTTTTTCAAATCCCTTAATATGAATATCCAGTATATGGGTTCTAGGACAAATTGATTTCTTTGAATGGATTGTTCTGAATGTGTTTAATGGTGTTCTAGAAATACATTATTTAGGCCATTATAGTAGTAAATATTTGCTTTGCTTCTTGGGATAATTGTAACAACAATGGCATTCCATTCTGCATTCTTCATGATGTTTTTCCTGATTTATTTGAAAAATTGTGGCTTGGTTTTGATATGAAACCTGGATATTAATATTAGCTGGGAGTCTCAGAGATTTTTCCAAGGGTCTTTAGATGCGGGTGCCAAGGTCCAGGATCCCAGAGGCCAGCTGGCCCTCCCTTGAATCCCCTCTGAGGTTCCGTCT